GAGACCATGGCTCAGTTTGCTGTAATTGAGCAAGCTAAAAAATCCCTGAAGACTGTTCAGGAGTACATCAAAGTGGGCATGGAAACCACGCTAGATGTCGCTCAGGATTTCGCAGACAGTAAAATTGGTCAGTGTTGTTGAGTGTATGTTTGTTTAACATTGTGAACCAATTGTTGTGCATGGTATACAGGCATTCTTGTGTGGTATTACATATTGCATGAGCATTAACTGCAGCATATACGCTTTGTATTACAGACATGAAAAAAAGATGCAAAATTAATACCGGTAATATAGTGTTTCATTTTTGTTTGTCATTTTCTTTCTCACAATGGCTCTTTAAAATGAATGAATATTGGCCACTTAATTTGAAAATGCTCATTAAAAATGAAAGCAGTGTTGTCTTAGTCCAATTGACCTTCATGGGTTCCCAATCACTGCCATCAGAAATGACCATTGCATAAAGTATCTTTGTTAAGAAGGTTCAGTCTGACCATCTCATGGCACATGTAGACATACACACAATGATAAATTTGAAATCCAAAATGTTTCATGCAATGGCATCAAAATTATCCTTAGCTCTGACTGGAAGTTTAGTAAATACTACACAACTCATTGATGTTAGGTATGACCAATTTTTAATTATGAAAATTAACAGAAAGCTTGCAATGAATTTCAATTCATTATAAAATGAAATTCATCTAAAGCTCAATTATACCTTTGTGCAAAAGTTTTTTCCTCAAATAAATCAGAAATACAAACTCAATTAAGAAATACGAATCCTTTTTTTGTGTTGAAATTTCATTAAGAAAGCCTATTTAATTTCAGAGAGTGAAAAGGAGATAGATATTCTGAAGAGTGTGATGAAGGACTATGTACAAATGGAGAGAGATCTAGATGATTTCATGAACAGCGTAGAAGATGTAACAAAACAGGTACGTATTACGTCATGAACAGTGTAGAAGATGTAACAAAACAGGTTTGTGTTTGGTCATGAACAGCGTAGAAGATGTAACAAAACAGGTACTTGTTACGTCATAAACAGTGTAGAAGATGTAACTAAACAGGTTTGTGTTACGTCATGAACAGTGTAGAAGATGTAACTAAACAGATTTGTGTTACGTCATGAACAGTGTAGAAGATGTAACAAAACAGGTACGTGTTACGTCAGGAACAGTGTAGAAGATGTAACAAAACAGTTTTTGTCTCGCCTGCGACGAATGTCGCGAAGCGAGACATAGCGACCATAGATTCCGTCGTCGTCGTCGTCGTCGTCGGCGTCCAACTTTTGGTTAACCCAAATGTCAAAGTTTTATAAACTGCAATAACTTTCTCAAATTTTATTCAGTCTTCTTGAAATTTGGACACAATATTCAGTATGGATAAAAATTTATATCCCAAGTATGATTTTGAAAAAAAAAATTCAAATTTTTCCGTATTTTTTCCTTAAGTTGGACTTAGTTTTTTCATGATAATTTATGGTGAAGACCTATATTCCAGCAACTATAAGTTATAGGGATATGATAATTAGTCAGTGGATACATCATGGGTAACCACAAACGTCAGTACCAGAATTAGGTCATCTTGACCTACATTTTTCTGCATGAGTGACTTTGGTTAAATTTTTGGTGGAGGTCCATATCTCAGCATCTATAACTTATAATGGCATGATGATTTGTCATTGTACAGGTTATAAGTAACCAACAACATCAGTACCAGAATTAGGTCATTTTGACCTACATTTTTCTGCATGAATGACTTTGGTTAAATTGATAATGGAGGTTCATATTTCAGCAACTATAACTTATAGTGGCATGATAGTTAGTCAGTGGATACATCATGGGTAACCACAAACGCCTGTACCAGAATTAGGTCATCTTGACCTACATTTTTCCGCATGAGTGACTTTGCATAAATTTATGGTGGAGGTCCATATCTCAGCAACTATAACTTATAGTGGCATGATAATTTGTCAGTGGATACATCATGGGTAACCACAAACGCCTGTACCAGAATTAGGTCATCTTGACCTACATTTTTCCGCATGAGTGACTTTGCATAAATTTATGGTGGAGGTCCATATCTCAGCAACTATAACTTATAGTGGCATGATAATTTGTCAGTCTACACATCATGGGTAACCAACAATATCAGTACCATAATTAGGTAATCTTCACCTACATTTTCTGCATGAATGACTTGATACATATACAGTGGATTTGATTTCAAAATGCAAGTTCAAATTATTGCGACTCATAACACGTTGCAATATTCGCAATAATAAAAACATCACAATAATTTGTGAATTTACAGGGTATATGTATATATATATAAATGCCAATATAATCGCCAAGGGATTAGATATTAAGTCAGCTGTTCCATTTCTTTATTATTGTATTTTTGAGTTATTCCTTCTGAAATGTCAATAAATGCTTCAGTTTATCAGACAATCATTTCTTACTAACCACAGCGACAGCAGGCGAGACACAGGGTTGCGGGCAACCCTTACGTACTTTTTGTTTAGTCATGAACCATATAGAGGATGAAACAAAAAAGGTTCATGTTTAGTCATGAACAGTGTAGAAGATGTAACAAAACAGATCAACTTAGTGATCACAATCTGTTCATGAATTAGATCCTCATCAGAAAAATTATTTTATAAAAGAGATTTCCATTAAGGAGAGTCGCCCGCCTGGCGCAGTGGTTAGATCATCTGCCCTAGAGTCACGAAGCAAGGAGTTGATCCTTAGGTTTGGGGTTCGAATCCCACTGTGGGACATGGAGACCGTTCTTTGGATGAGACTGTATAAACCCAGGTCCTGTGTCGCAGTAAGTGTTGGCATGAAAAAGATCCCTCCTTGCTCAATGGCCCTGACTGCCCCTGAGGTCACGGATATAGGACAAAATTTGCAGCTCTCCACCGGCAAATGGTGGTGTCTCCATATGAGTGAAAAATTCTTGAGAGGGACATTAAACAATACACAATCCATTAAAGGAGGGCGCAATATTGCACATTTCATATCATGAAGATTATCAATGTCTTAAAGTGTTTTGATATTTTTGGAGAGAATTCCATGGACTAACAATGCCCTTCCATTATTAAATATTTCATTTGTTTGACAGGCTGCACAATCACAGGAGACTGTAGATTTGGAGGAGGCAGTGGAGGGAAGGTTACAGGTCTATAAGAGCAAAAGTCAGAAGGTTCCACTCGAAAACCATGAGAAATACGTGGACTTGGCTGAGAAAATTACAGAAATACTTCATCCAGGTAAGTATGTATTCATGGTTACTGATTAATGGTCAAAATGTAGTAGTTTCGTAGGTCACATGTGATCTGTGACTTTCATTACTGGGGTATTTTCTTTTTCAATTCAGTCACATGCAGCTGTGTATCGATGGTGATTTCATCAAGTTTCTTCCCTATAGTTGTAGCATTGTGCCAAATTGCATTTTAAATTTTTTTGCTTAGTGCACAATTTTGAACATGTAAATTGTACTATGAGTTTGTCACCTTTAGTTGTTGAATTGCGTATACTGCAAAATTTTTAAACATGTGAATTATATTTCTGCTTTAACAGACAGACAGGTAGACAGTGTGCCTCAGACCCCAGCCTATACTGGGGATGAGGAGATGGTGTTGACCCAGACGGACGTTAACACCAGGTGTCCCTACACAGGAAAAGACATGGTCCACCCTGTCAAGAACCGCCACTGTGAACACAACTATGACAGGGAGGGGATTCTACACTACATCAAAACAAAGAAGAATCGGGCAAAGTAAGGCAATCGTTTTCATTCATAAAATTTTTTTATTGAGATGTTAGGGATCTGGAAATGTGTAAAGAAACCCTATGTTAAATCTAGGGATCCATTTAATGCAAAATTAAGTGTAAATTTTTCCTGTCAGATGTCCAGTGAGTGGTTGTATGAATGAGAACCCAATCCAGAAAGAAGATTTAATAGAAAACAAAGAACTAAAGAGATACATAGACCGAAAACTCCGCTCAGAAAAGAGGACAAAGAAGTCTAGTTGATGTTAATATAAGGGACTACCACATAGTGTTCATAGTCTATGTCTGACAGTGTTAACCTTGTGCAGTTATTGGAATTCATAGGGTGAATGAGAATGAAACATGTAGCACAAATGTGTCAGTATATTTATTAGACAAAATGTTCTGAGCTTTACTCCCAAGTCAAACTGATTTTATTTTCAACTATTTTTTTTATGAATAAAGAGTTGCATCCCTTATTGGATTTAAGAAGTTAGTGTAAAGATTGAAGAACATGGACTTTTAAAAAATATGTAAGAACTTGACCATAAACAACTTTTTTATCCACATTCTTATCTACGGACACCAAAGAGCAGAAAGTACAAGTACCCAGTACTTACCGGGTATTATTAGTTTATCAGTCAGTTACTCCGGACCCTTCCAACAGAATTTCCTGAACCTTTGTTGTTAATAAACAAATAATGTTTAGATGTGCATATTCACAGAGAAATTCTGATTCAGTTTTATCTAGGAGTTCCTGTGGAATCATCATTGATAAAATTGTGGTTAAAGGTGACCCACAAAATCCATAAACAATGGTCCCCCCACTACCTCTGTGCACATTTTATCTACCAGGTAAATTCAGGATATCAAGAATTTGCATCATACCAGGACTGAGATGATTATGATTCCATGTGATAATGTCTTAAATTAGAATTTTTCTCTCATAGTAATTGTTAACTGTAGAAACTTGATTAACATCAAGAAACAAAATTTATTATCAGTTTTATTGATCAAAAATACAATGGACAAAACCTTTCATAATAAATGCAAAAAAATATCACAACAAATAACTACCCTAGTGTGAATGCATGTAATAAATGAAAAAAAATTAAAATACTTTCCACACCATGTCAACTGTAGACAGCTTTCAACAATGATCAACATGTACATGTATATCTTTAAATTATAACATCTTCTCGATGTTTGGATCAGTTCAAACACACAATTTCAGTAAAAGAATAATACTGAAGAACATTTTAAATAAAATTTTTAAAATTAACTAAATTTAATACTGCTAGAATTTGCACCCTCAATTTTTTCTTGTTTTCTCTGAGTAGCTAAATTTTTACTTAATGAACATTATCATGGCAACATCTTTCTATACTAATTAGGTAAAGAACATAATACTGAGACAAGGTTTTTGTTTTTGTAATAATGCTGAAGTTTTCTGTATAAAACATAGAAATAAGACATGACATATATCACATGTAAATCTGAATGATGAATTATGACAGCTATTTCATTATGAGAAACTAAGGACTAAAATTAAGACGAGTCCCCTTTTACCATTCTGACATGACAAGACTCCTTGTTAAAAAACACACTGAATGAGTGGTTAAGATATTTTTGACTCAGATCATTGAATTTACATCTAAATTTGATTCATTATTTTCATCATTCTAATCTTTGAAATTGATAGAGATTTTCTTCATTAGTTTATAAATAACTACACTACTTAATCCACCCTCTGTATTCTATGACTTAATTGACAGGTAAAGTGAAGAACAAGTTTTAAAACTGAAAATATGATATATGGCAAGAAACCACAAGATAAGTTTAAAACATTCTGGTAAAATAAACTAAATACATAATACTGAAATGTTGCTCTTAAATCACAGAGAATTTCAATGAGTAAACATGTAAGATATCACAGCCTAATAAATAAATAATACAATGTACATCTATAAAGTAGCTATGTTGGCAGGATAACATGTAGAATACTATTCTGTGATTATTTTTAAAAATCTTGAGCATTTTGAAAAAACGTATCATCTTTCAATAGTATCATTGAATTAATTTAAACGAAAAATTCACCAGAAGCAATCAAGGATGACATCAATTTAACAACCATAAGGTCTTTTACACTATCTTTTTAGCCCTGACTTTTCTAGGGATAGGTACACAAAGTTCTTCTACTCGTGGAGTAGCATGAGCCCTCCTGGCTGCCATGGAGACTTTGTACGGATCGTAATCGTCTTTGATCATGGTGCGACTCCGTGGCCGACACAGTTGTTGTAGCCGGAGGTTAGCGATGGCCTTCAGGGCACTCTCGTCCACCTGCCACTGAACCGGCTTCTCCCCCACAAAGCGGGGGTGGTATTTCTTGGGCTCCGCGAGGGACTCTACGTGTGGAGTACACTGGGCGGTCTTTGCAGCGGGGGCCACTGGGTTGTATTGACCCCATGATGTTGCCAAGGTGATGACCCCAAACTTGTCGCGATCCCTCCTATCTTTTGGTTTGGACAATGTTTCTAATCTTTCTGTAGGGGTTGCTTTTGTGGCTCCATCGCTTACCTGTCCAATAAAAAGTTTATTAATGAAAAAGTATACATGTAGTACATTGCCTAAATTATGTAAGTATGCATTTACACACATTCCATGTGTGTTAAGGGGGTGAGCAAATTGATAACTATCAATAAAAAGACCTATAAAAATGGTTAGAATAGACACTTAAGACTAGGGAAAATATAACATTAATGATACACAAATACTATTTATGGTAGATTTAATGTACTGTAAACCAACTTGTATTTGTGTAAAGAAATTTTGCAAAGCCTCACCATAAATATCTCTTGCCATGAACCAGTCCTAAAAGTCTCTGTTTCTATTGACAAAAGATCCAAAAGGCTTGATTTTGAAAATTAATATAAACTATTTTCCCCCTGTAAATTACAAAATAAAGTCATCACAAATAAAAGATGGTTTACAGTATATTAATATTGCTTTACAGTACATGTACTGTCATGTATACCAGTACTTAGATAAAAGGTGACCAAAATAAGGATGCTTGTAATATATAAGTTCTCTTGCTTTAGAGAAAGTATTTTTTAACATGAATAAACTTTGCATTAATTGAAAAAAAATCTTTCATTAAAATAAATCGGTTATTATGTTATACAGTTGAAAGTTTCAAGTTCAATAAGGTCAAGGCCAATATATTGTCACCCTTTTATGAAAGTGAAGCATAATCTTGTAATTAATAACTACTGAAGCTTTATAAATCAAATAGTACTTATTTACTATTCTGATGACAAAATGAAAATATTTCATGATACAGTAAAACTTGTATAATCTAGATATTGTGTATTCTGATATCTTGGCTAATAGGTGGTAAATTTTAGCCCCTTTGAGTAAATTCAAATGTAAAAATGGCTCCTTATTAATAAGAACTTCCTTTTGAGACTTTCAATTAAATACCAGGTAATGATTTATGAGTTATCCTCCCTGTCTGAGGAGCAGTTATCCTTAAAGCACATTTACTATTTTATACAATATTTACAATAGCATTATGAATATGTAATGCTCCTTACATCCAATTCCACTGAATGAATTCTACCCAGTGGAAAACAAATACATTTTATTAATAACTATATTCTTATGTAAATTCACTGCAAAGTCTAAAGTTTATAAATACTAATATATATATATATTTCCTCCTCCATTTTATAGTTACATTAAGCATTACCAACATCATAAAACCACAAGCGATTACAATGGGTTTCTTTCTCCCATACCCTGTAATCAAATGTGGGATTTCGATGATTAAGCATTATATAAGCAATATCAATTTATCAAGCTACCAAGTCCTGGTTATACATATGAATACATACTTGGATGAGTGGCATCTGAAAGACAATTTTACCATTGCAGTGGGTGATTATTTAAACAATGAATTACACATTATTTATCACAAGAAATGTTTCTGATACTTGTAAGTTCCCTTAAGGCAATATTACATAGGATCACTTTTACATGTAGAATCCTGGAATGATTGACTGAAAAATAAGGTTATCTAGTACTAATTATGGGCAAACATGCCAAGTTTGATCCCTGTCAGGCCTCAATATTTTTAGGGGTTATCTACCTCTTTGAGGGAACCAGTGTACCAAGTTTGATTAAGCAAATGGTTCTCAAGATACATTTATTGAGCAGACAATATATTCCAAGACCTGTTTGGCCTGTGCCCTTTGACTTTGTGACCTGAAAACCAATAGGGATCAGCTACTCCCAAGGGAAACATAGTAATGTTTGTCAAGCAAGAGGTTCTTGAGGTCAAAGAAGCTTGACCCTTGATATTTCACCTTGTGACCTCAAATTCTACTCTGCAGGGGGGAACCAATGTCTGTGAAGTCAAGGACTATAATATACAGTAAAACTCGCTTATTACGAAGTCAATGGGACTTGTGAAATTACTTCGCTATATCCGTAATTCCTTAAATCCGTTAAGTAATTAATAAAATTTATGTAATTTTAACCCAGAAAACTTCGCTATATCCCTTTTCGCAATATCTGTGTTCTACAAATAAATATAACTATTTTCCAGTATGCAGAGAAAAAATTGTATTAACAGAAAAAAAAATCCAGAAATTTTTAAAATAGATTTTCATTTTGTTGTTTTAAATCCGTTTACACAAAGGGAAGTTATTGACCTCTAAAATGGTTACTATGTATTTTCTTACTTCTAAATCAACAAAACTTAACTAAAAATTCCAATCTTTGAATACTGAATAATGATCTAGTCAAAATTGATGGTCCAACACAGCTGGTACATTGTATTCCTGAATTGAAAAGGCAGTGATGATAATATGATATATTTCTGTTGAGAGTACACATAAATTACCCAACTACAGAAAACAGGTAAGGTTACTTATAAAAAAAATTATGAATTAAGATTGATTGATTAAATGATTGACCGATTTTAAATTGCTTAATGCTGTGTTCAATCATTTATGCATAAGAATAAAGATGCTTATATTTGTTTCTGAAAATTAATGATACACACTGTCATATAGGCGGTCCTGTCAAACAGATAACGGGGGTGGGGTTCTTTGTGTTCACTGAGCGCCACCAGGCGGGGCCCTGCCTCTGCCTTCTTAGCCCCATCACGTACAGCCCAGATAGGGGTGGGTCTGGAAAAGGAAAAAAAATACAGATAATCAAAGATTACAAAGCTCCTCAATGAATATCTGTACGGCAAGTCTCATCTCAATTTTTTTTTTGGGGAACTTGAAATCAAAATCCATGCAAGTTTGGTATTGGTATTATATACAGGTACCAGCACCAAAAACCTAACTCATCTTGAAAATACAAACCAGATTGATTGCAATTTAGTAAACAAAGTACTGTAGAATCATTATTGTTCGTGGGGGACCAATGTTCGTGGCTTTCATGGGTAAACATGACCCACATATTTACATCCCCACGAATGTATATACAAACAATTATTTTATTATTTATCAAAAGTTAAAATGCAAAATAGAACTTGTTATCAACGAAATTACGTCCCCTCGAACCAGAAAATTTTTGGCTTCCCATCAACATTGACCCCCACGAATAAAACTGATTCCACAGTAAGTCTTTTATCCAGAGTAAGTAAGGTAGTGGTTGCCTGCATGACACAGTGGTTATAACGCCTGCTCTAGAGTTGCGGAGTAAGGAGTCGATCCTTTAATCGCAGGTTAGAATCCCACCGTGGAACATGGAGACCGGTCCTTGGGATGAGACCGTATAAACCAAAGAACCATGACACAGTTAGTGCTGCCATGACAAAGATCCCTCACTGCTCAACCGCCTTGAGAGCCTAGTATAGGTCAAATTTGCAGCTCTCGACCGGCAAGTGCTGCCTGGTATCTCCATATAGTGAAAAATTTCTTGAGAGTGATGTTGCCAAACAACAAACAGACAAACAAAGTCTGGTAGTGTCCAATATTAGATATGTTTATTCATAACAGGCCATATAGTTATTCTGGGATACAGCTACACCAAGAGGTACATGGAAATGGACTTGCCCATTAAATCTAACTTCTCAAAGTTCTCAACTTGGAAGTGTAGGTCAGATCCAGCATTTAAAGCAAGTCTGGTAATCTCCTTCACTATATGCTTCATCCGTGCAAGTTTGGCTTAGAATGGGCTTGCAACTATTTGAGAATGGGCCTGCTTCTAACACCTTTAACAGCACACCAAAGGCCTATGCCAAAACTAATGCCAAGGGTATAGCATAAGTTTATCTCAACTTAGTCGAGAAGTACACTAAAACTAGAAATATGTCCATAGGACATGAATGCTCAGCCGAGGGTATGTTAATAGTAAATGCTGCATGAAAATTTGAATTTGTGTATAAATTTCAGAATGTCTTGAATAGTGATGCAGTTGAATTGCTTACATCAGTATGAATCAGTATATGAAGTTTAACACTAATTTAAGAAAAGTGAGGTCAAAGTCAAAAAAAGTCAAGGTCAAATGATGATGCAGTTGAATAGCTCTCATCAATATGTATCAACATATGAAATTTGATAAAAAAATATTATGAATGGTTTCTTTAAAACTGAGTTAATCACAATTTGATAAAAGTGAGGTCAAAGGAAAGGTCAAGGTAAAAATAATTTTGATGCAGTTGAATAGCTCTCATCAGTATGTATCAGCATATGATGTTTGATAAAAATATCTTGTATGGTTTCTTAACTGTGCAAAACACTAATTTAAGAAAAGAGAGGTCAAGGTCAAAGGAAAGGTCAAGGTTAAAAATGGTGATGCAGTTGAATAGCTCTCATTAGTATGTATCAGAATATGAAGTTTGATAACACTATCTTGAATGGTATCTTTAAAACTGAGCTAAACACTCATTTAAGAAAAGTGAGGTCAAAGGTCAACATATGAAATTTGATAAAAAATATTATGAATGGTTTCTTTAAAAAACTGAGTTAATCACAATTTGATAAAGGTGAGGTCAAAGGAAAGGTCAAGGTAAAAATAATTTTGATGCAGTTGATTAGCTCTCATCAGTATGTATCAGCATATGATGTTTGATAAAAATATCTTGTATGGTTTCTTAAAAACTGTGCAAAACACTAATTTAAGAAAAGTGAGGTCAAGGTCAAAGGAAAGGTTCAAGGTTAAAAAATGGTGATGCAGTTGAATAGCTCTCATTAGTATGTATCAGAATATGAAGTTTGATAACACTATCTTGAATGGCATCTTTAAAACTGAGCTAAACACTCATTTAAGAAAAGTGAGGTCAAAGGTCAAGGTCAAAAATGTTAAAGCAGTTGAATAGATCTCATCAATATCTATCAGCCTATGAAGTTTGATGAAAATATCTTGGATAGTTTTTTGAAACTGAGCTTTGAACTGAGCTAAACGCAAAGTGTGACAGACGGACGGAAGACAGACATGACAAACACTATATGCCCTGGCCATATTCATGGCGGGGCATAAAGAAGATTAAACTAAATGGTCATTCAAACTTGGTTGTGTAAAGCTCAGGGTTTGCTAGGAACTGCCCACCTGCCCTGTGACATCACTTTACCTGTCTCCTCGCCAGCCATGCTGATTAGGTGTGCGGTGTCTGGCTAGCTCCTGGACCCGGGCACTGGCAACTGCAATCACAAAATACACCATTCAATCTTTATCATACATTACTTATCAATGAAGTTAATCAAACTTATTGTATTTTGATTCAATTTATATTTATAATAGCCTGAAAAAAAGTCCAGCTAAGTATCCTTTTTTTTAATAGTGGAAAAAAAATTGACACATTTACCTGAAAAATCAGGTTAAAAATTTGATAACATATTAATTTCAAAAGCACAATACTTATGTCAATATAATGTTAATTCATGTTCAAAACTCAGCATTGGTAATTAATAAAATCTGACTGAACACTTACAAGCAAGCTTGAATGAAATCATTCAGTATGATACAAAACTTCATAGGCAAGGTGTTAAAATATACAAAGCACACTCAGATTTAATTAAATCAAGTCTTTTAAATTGTGTGCTGAACTTAAAGAGTCAGCTATAAAGAGAACTGCATTTTTGATACCCTGTCTGGATTAAATGACCAGAATGGTACTATACTAGTATGTTACAAATTTAAATCTTAAATTGCCCCTGAAATGGATCAGGTTTCTAACCTTGTTATTGAAGAAATATCTTACGTACATTAAAATTGTAGAAGCAGTCATGAGTTTCTGATATGCTACAGTTATACATTTCACTACAAGAAAGAAATCAAAGAATGATTAATATGTTCATAATTTTTCTATTAGTTTCTAAGTTAAACATGCCTTTGTCCCCATCATATGATACTTACTATATGCCGAGTCACTCACAGTTCTACGCACCCCACCTTAATAAACACAATGTACTCTTGAATGAAATTTTCATGTGCCCAATACACAAGTATACTGATATTATTTCTAAAACTCCTGAAACTGATGATTAAACATATTGTACTGCATTAAATTATGAACTAGCTTAATTGTCTTTAGAAGGATATTTATACAGTAGGAAAGAGAATTTTGTTTTTAACCACGGATATGCTGATGCAGAAGTGATTTGGAAGTCCCTCTGTCCCAACCACTTATTTAAGTATTTTGCCCTCAATATCTGAAATTCTCAGACTATTGGCCCAAAGTTAAAGGTAATGAGGTTTGACTGTAGTTGGCCACTTAGGGTAACCTTAAGGCCAGCATTATGTGCTTCCAAATAAACACACATGTACATGCAAATACATGTATATATACTAACACTGAAATTATTGTATATGGTTAGTGGAGCTGGGGTGGGGGAGCTCAAGTTAAAGTCATTTAACAAGTTTGGGCTGTTAGGGAGGTTGTAGAGTGTTAAAATAGTTGCTACATGGTCTTTTTGAAGTAGATGGACTTTACAATGCTTAACAGTTTTATATTTTAACAGTGGCAATTCCAGCATTATAGAATTTAAACCTATAATACATAAATATCTTGACAGTTGATATATCATTTCAATCTGTTAAAAACCATTTAAAATGTAGGATCAATGATGAAATGTAAATGTTTTCTCTTAATATCAGCCATGACAAGTGTTTGCTCTGCTAGTGCAGAATGTTTCAAATCAATATTTAGGCATTAGATCAACCTCTATAGAAAGAAAGAAACTGCTCATAAACCCTGTCTTGTGGTAGATTAAGGATGTCATTTCCTACTTATGGCCCTCGACAACTTGAGATATAGGACTGGAATTTTCTTTACATATAAATATTTTTCTGTCAGTTTTAAGTGCAAAAAAGAGAAATGTTAAATGTATTTCGAAAAAATATTTAATGACAAGAAAAATAAAAGTTCCAACACCTAAAGTTCATGGTATATTAATTTAATTCTTTAAATATTGATGCACTTTAATATCACACCTACAACTTATTAAAGAATTACACTATAACTTGTTAAGCTGATCTAGTAGAATACTTGGTTTGAACTTAGACCAACAGGAAATCTGCCAAAAATGCTCATCTGATAGGGACATATTGCCAGCCTAAAGCTGGTAACATTATTGTTAAGAGACAAGAATCAAGATAAGAAATACAAAGTATTACAATAATTAAAAAAAGTATTATTTACATAACAATATGCAACTTTTCAATCATTACTGCAAAAAGCTCTGCTTATAAAAAGCAAAGGAAAATATTACATGTAAGTTGATTTTGAGTTTGCATTTGGAAGGTTTTGTCATCTGGAATGACTTGGGACATGTTCTTACAGTTAATTAAAATACCCCGGTAATATAAAAAAACAATATATATTAGTTATATATACTATATTGAAATGACATATAAATCCTAAATAATGTCTTTTATGAGTAATATGAGATGTAATAAAAATTAGCTTGCAAGGCAACATGCATTTTTTTCCTTTTATAAAACTTCAATTACTTAAACTCAAACCAGTTTCTATCTTCAATTCATTCACAGGGCGTAGAATATGCAATGTGGTAATAATTCCCGTTTTAACCTCCCAGACTTGCCCTCCCCTTCAACAGCAGCTTATGAATGTTTCAATGGTATCTTATTTAGTACCCCCAAATGTGGTTTAAATCTGTGAACTAGATCGATCACCTTTTGTTTGTCTGACAAAATGAAGAGATGAGTATCTGCGTAGACACTTGTAAGCACTTTAACGGACACAATGCATGACTTTATCAGGTAGCTCTACACAATTATCATCACCTGGTATAGATTAAACCCAGACAGAACTCTGTTAGCAGTTTACTCTAATTCAGATCTATATTGATTTAGTTTAAGCAATATCCTCTTAAATTAAAAACTTCAGTGTTGGAAAAAGTGGTCAAAGGATATAGCAATTATATTTATCAATATTATCGACCCTCACAACATTTTCTTTCAGCCTTTAAAGGAACTTTTAAAGTATAAAATGTGCTTAAACAATATAAGCCAGATGGATTTGTGAGATTTCTTCTGGCTCAGTAAGAATTGCAGATTTTTTTTTTTTTTGCAAGAATAGGAAGTGTGTTTACAGTAAAAACAATATGTGCTGTATGTGCCACACATTAAAACAAGAAATTGAATTTTTCATAATCCACTATCCATGCATCCGTGACTGCATGATCACTTTTTCTTTATTAATAAATCATTATGTAATGTTCATGACAGAATAATCAGCCAGGAGCCCAAATATCTCTCAAAATTAAAGGTGCAGAATTGCAAAATAAATGTCTTCAGGCTTAATTTAAATAAAAATGCTAAAATTTTGAAATAGATTGGATATTCAATTTAAAAGTCAGGTGCAAAAAGTGCTCTTTGTAAAGGGTAGGTAAGATTTTTAAAGTGATTTGGATTTGTTATTTTAATGATTTGAGAGCAATCAATATTACAAATAACTTACTGATTTGTGTGGTTCCATGTGGCCCTGCAGTAGGGGGTTGTCTGTCAACCCAATACACCGACCGCCTACAAAATTAAGAAACAAACAGAATAAATAACTTATTAGATTTAGATATTTTTTTTACTCAGATATGAATGATTTTAAAAATTCATACAATCTCATTAAATTAACTTTATAAAAGAGAACTTGTGCTTCGAAAGCTCATATTAAATTGAATTGATTTTGAAGGTGAAATTGGAATCTGTCCTGGAATGTTAATGTAATATCAAGAAATTCTCTTGAAACTAAAGGAGCATTTTCTTTTTTGGGGCAAAATTTAATATTTTATAATGTTATGCAATAATATACATTACATCCATATAAATTATGTTTCTGTATTTAATATCAGTTAAAGTAATCTGCCATTTAATGTCTCACCCTAACCCCTAATAGGACAAAATGCAATAATTATTCTTTGAAAGTTCAGGAATGTCTATGAATTAACTTATTGATATGTCCGTATACGCACAGGGGCATCTTATCCACTCTGTTCTCTACTTCACATATAAAAAATTATATGTATACGTATAATGGGTTATTGGTGTGATCTGTTAATTCTGTAGAAGAAGCTGTGCATTTCAACATTGTCAATGTTATGATAATTAAAATGCACAAACATGATAACATTAACAATTTTGATGTTTGACACATGTACACATATACGATTTAGGCTACTTTTAATGGCAGCTGATGTACCAAAATGGACATAGGCGCATCCGTACTGTCACTTAAGGTTTGTAAAATAAACCGATAATTAATTTAAGTAAACCCGTTAAATTACCTACCTGTCTTCCTGAAATGTGTTGGGAACACTTTTGGGATTGGCGAGAAGATCTATCCTGTTATCACTCGCTGTAATAGAGAGAAAAATTCAAATAACCTTCAATGTCATTCATCATAGGACTTTATCGTTCACAAAGGGTTTTGGCATTGCACATGCACACTTACTTGCACTTCTCGTCGCCATTTCTACCAAAAATCTCGCGCTTTACGCGTGGTTGTCAAGAGAGTTGTCAATGACTCCTTCCGATTGTTTTCATTGGTCAAAACACTTTCATATTCTTTCTAGACATTTAATATACGTTTTATTCTGGTTGTTGTACCTTTTAATCAAGAATCTATTGTTTGGCCGAATAATAAATTACATTTAAATCCCCAGCAGACGATATTTTGTTTAAATGCCAAACAGAGTGCCTAGGACAATATTGGCACTGGTTTCATTTTCATTTTAACTGTGACGTCACAAGAATGAGTCGTGTGTGTGAAGAGTGATCCTTCTTGGGTTGGAGTTTGCTAATCTCTGTTGAGATTCTGCTGGGCTAGATATTTGGACTTGACGCCAGCTGGCGTCAAGTCTAAATATCTAGCCCAGCAGAATCTCAAAAGAGATTAGGAGTTTGCATACTATTTAGTAAAAGGGAGTATCGTTCTTTTTTAATTTACCAAAGAGCTTATGCGATAGTAATGCGTCCGTCGTCCGTCCGTCTGTCTGTCTGTCCGTCTGTCTGTCTGTCTGTAAACAATTTTTCAAAATGCTACTCCTCCTACAGTTTTGGTCCGATTTCAGTATAACTTGGCACACAAGTAGACTACACTAAGATACATAATTTTGTGCATCGATTTTTGATTTCCATGAACGGTGTTGCCGTGGTTTAAAAATAATTTCTGTGAAAATTAATGCTACTCCTCCTACATCTGATTTCAATATAACTTTTTTGCATCGGTTTTTGATTTCGATGAACGGTGTTGCCGTGGTTACTAAAAATAGAAATTTCTTTGAAATTCTTTCAAAATGCTACTCCTCCTACAGTTTTGGTCCGATTTCAGTATAACTTGGCACACAAGTAGACTATACTAAGATACATAATTCTATGCATTGGTTTTTATTTTGATGCGTGGCAAGGATCGTTTTTCTATTTATTGCTGATTTAAAGTCTCAAGTCCCAACTGCTACTTTTCTCTTCCTTTGTTTTAAGTATAAACCAGTAGAGCTACAGTCTGGACAGAGACTTCTGGTTAATTTAACCAAAAGTTTCTGTAAATTGAAAGGCATGCGAACTCCAGCGAATAGGCCTACTGCATTGTCCTTTATAAAAATTATTAATCATGTTTAATCTCACTTTTTTGCTTTAGAGAAATAAGGCATGTCACCCGTGACATTGATTTTATCAAGGTTTTTTTTTAAAAGTATACTTTAGGTAACTACCCAAACAGCACGACTTTTTGAGTGACAAAAGGTTGAGCGCTAGCCAAGGGTGACGACCCGCTATAGCGAAGATGGGATCAGTGTATATTTTACTAAGCTAATATTTGAATACATAGTTTTTGAAAGTGTGAGGGAAAAAATCAACTTAATTGAAAAAAAACTTGGCTAGCAAATATTAAAGTCTAAACTCGAAAATCATGTTAATTTCGTGTGTGCGGAGTGGGGAGAGGGACGGGACAGACTAACTTTTTTTAGTACCAAATTTTATTAAATAAATTAGACTATGAATACAAAAACCTTTTTGATTATACTACAACAAAAAAGTGATGGGGAGGCAACCGACCTTTCAATGATCATTTCCAACAGTAATAAGTTATGTTTGGAAAAAAGTGAAAGATCCCCAATGCCCCCTATATATAGCTGTTGCTTCATGTCTGTTAAATAGTATTCCAAATCAGGGCCCAATGGACATAGACATATAACTTATTACTGTATATAAAACTCAACTTAGTGAAATTACCTTTCAAAATTTCAACATCAAACAGTTTTTTTTTGGGCACTTTTACTGAAAGTGGAGGGGGGGGGTATCAATTTCCGTCCCTCTGTCCGCCCGTCTGTCTAGCTGTCTGTCTGTATTTCTGTCGGTCTCATACATTTTGTGTGTGTGTCTGCAAACTTCATTTTCGTGCAATATCTCAAGAAGCTTTTGAGTTTTCGAATGAACTCTTTACCCACAACTCCCCCTATGGCTCCGCCCACCCTTCTAAAAGTCCCCCCCCCCCCGGTTGATCTGCACATTTTCTCTAGGAAGAATGAATTTAAATACGCACAAAATGAAGCACAATTCAATTACTTTATATTTGGCCTTGTATTTCGATTACAAGGTCTTCATACATTACAAATAACGTCCTAAACATACACGGTGTCTTAATGAAAATTATCAATCCATGGACTGCTTATAATAGATTTCAAAACTTATCACTTATCTCTCAACTTAGAATTATATAGCTAACAAAACTGTAAACTTGGAAGATTTTTACAAAGATTTGGAAATTTGGCTTTTGATACTGAGAAGGCTCTGAGCGATTTGCATTTTTTAGAACAGCCAACTGATCAAATAAAGGAGTATAAAGACAATGTTTTTCATCGTTTGTCAAAAAGAAGCTTCTCTCTTCTTTCCTCTCTTTTTTTCTCTCTCTCTCTTCCCCTCCTTCCTCTCAATCAGCAATCAAAAGATTTATGTATATTTACATTGTATGCTTTCATGAAGTAATTGCTGATTTGTTATTGCACTTTACTGTACATGTATTTGTGAAAATTTTCGTTTGAATCACGTCTTATGTCCTGAATCCTGAAGTGATACAAGTTCAGCTGAAAAAAACTAAACTGCGTACCGTTGGTATCCAAAAGCACGTTCAGAAGAACAAAGGCACTTTGACTTCTGCAGACCCCATTTTTCAAAAAGGGCGGATGTGACAGTTTCAATGATATATTTTACTTTTTTTTTTCTCTTTTTTTTTAATTACCAAATATCTGATTAGTTCAAACTAGATCACATGATCAATTATAAAAAGTGTTACAAACTGGATATTTCTATATATCAAGCTTCTAAAACTATTTATACACCTACTGTTTCTAAAATTGGAAACTTTAGACTTCTGTGATGCAACAACAGTGCTGTCTGTGCTGACGTCACAATACTGATAGTGCAGCCTTACTGTGACGTTATAATGCGATTGACATAACGATGTCTTATTATGAAACACACAAGAAATATGGCTTTCAAGACGATTCTTCTGATAAAGAAAAAAAAATAAAACAATTATAGCCTTTTGATACGACACATTCGCTAGATATAGAGACCATAGAGAAAGCACTTCGTGCTTGGTCTATATGCTTTCTCTAGACTTAGGAATTGACCTCATTGAAAGGCTCTAATTGTGTACTATGCTTTATACATTTATTTGTTTATTTCTTTTAAGTGCCAGTTGTTAATTACAAAATTCAATGATTTTTTTAACTTACTCATGACGAGTTTATGAAGTGAATGTTTTTACCTTGAAGTTCTCCAGTGAGGCTGATTCTTCCCTTTTCATGGATCGGGGGAAGTTTAACTACTCTTGCAGTGCTGGTCATGATTTCCGCTAAGTTTGATGGACTCCACAACGCTGACCCACTACACTGAGACTGTACGTAGTTTAGGTAGATACAAATAATGCACGCGTGGATCAATTGTTTCATTTAATAATCAATTTAAATCACAGATCTCAATAGGTATTTGATAGACAAGCATTAATTATCAATCAAATTAGATCAATCTGGCATTAGATTAATATGATATACATGATTAGCCACAAACTACTAGTTACAGTTTAATACTGCTCTGTTACCCTGTAAATAAAAACTTGACCAATTTGTTCTGTGTTTAGCATCCGCGTGTGTGCCTTGGTTTTTGTCATTGAGTATCAGAAGAATTATATTAAAGTCGAAAAAATGATATACACTGGGTCCTAGTAAATGTTCTACCAAGCCTCTTTCTTTACTTCTCACTAAAATATTAACAGTAGTTAAGGAGAAAGTTCAGGAGTACTGTGCAGCAATTTAATCGAGAAGTGGTGTAAAAAAGATTTGAAATAATTTTAAATTCCAATGAACTTTTGAAAATTTGAATTTTTTAAAACCAACAACAAAGAATTTTACGGAAAAACTTAGGACTTTTCAACTTTAAAAGGCATAAATTAAAATTTTTGCCTTTTTTAATCATTGACATTTGCTTCTTCAATATAAATGAACTCTTAAATTTACTCACCTTGTCTTTGGTCATTTGCAAAATAATTTTATGAAAATATATTATAATTGTACACACCTGTACTTTAAAGTTGATATTAAAAAGATGCTTGAATTTCTGATAGAAAATATCTTTGTGGTTTTTATAGACATAGTCTTCCAAAAATCTATCGGAATTCCCATAGGTACCAATTGCGCCCCGTTATTAGCAGACCTTTTTTTGTGTTCATAAGAAGCAGAATTTGTTCAAAATCTTGTACGGGGGTCAACAAATTAACCATCAAATATAACTTATTTATTAAGATATGATATCTTTCAAAAGTTGTCAACTCTCATTTGGCAAAGAAAGATTTCATATATTTTATTTTTAAAATTTGATCATTTTTGTATATCTTTATATGGAGCTCCTCTTCTGAAGGAGATCAATTTAGTCTAAAAATGGCCACAACCACCCAGCTCTCTTATAATGGTTATTTTCATATTCTTAAATAATACGATATACATGTATCCTCTTGAGCTTGAAATAAAAGATACCACAGATTCTGACACATCTGCTTCAAGTTTGACTAGAAAAAGACGTTAATCAATGGTAATCTTGCAACCAAGCTTTACGATAAACGTGATGGTTTAACTTTTCAATTGTCAACTTTCCTTACTTATACAGCAATATACCTTCATCACCTGCACACGGGGTTTATATCTTCCAGAGATACAGGCACGTAGCATCGTCTTTGAAAGTGGGGGGGCCAACCAGAGAAAAATTTTTTTTACTTACCTGAAAAAGTTGACAAGCAAAAAAAAAAGAAAAAAAAAGAAAATTTAAAGTTGCCCAAACTCGAAATTCCTATTTCGTGGGGGTGGGGGGGGGGGGGCAACCATCCTTCCAATGAACAATTAGTAAAGGTAATGCTGGGGAAAAAAGTGGGGGGGGGGGCCAGGCCCCCCCCCCCCCTGTTGCTACGTCCCTGATATACATAATGAATTGTCGATGGATTTTTCCGTTATATCCTGGTCATGACAAGGAACACACTGCAGATGTGTCCGGTCGGCAGGGGATGCTCACTTCTCCATGGCATCTATCCCACCTCAAATGTTTGGAGGTTCGTTTTTGTTCTGCTCTAAAATATTTATCGTTGAATGGATTTTTGGGCTTAATACTGTTTGTTATCTCCATATATTTCATTATTTGGATGAAAACATCTGCATTCTGCAAATTCCCACTATATTTTCCGAGAATTGTCTTAAAAGTAAATTATTAGCATTTACTATCTTCATCTGCACTAGCCAAGGATTTACTATCCGCTCGCCTAGAAGAAGATCGTGAACCATTAGCTAAGGAAGATGTTACTTTATTTACGAAGGAATCTAGAACATATTCAATTATTAAAAATTAAGTATTTTATTAATGAGTTTCATATCCCACTTATAGTTTTTGAAATTGTTAAACAGAGGTACAAACTTTGAATGGTCTCAGTTACATAAGTAATAAACTATATCACTTTAATGAACAATTTTATAGCATATACACTCATTAAAAAGGACATACATGTACATGTATTATTTTATATATTTTGTACTGTTTACACGAGTAAATTGAGTGTTAATATCTATACACCTGAAAGGAGAGAGAGAGAGAGAGAGAGAGAGAGAGAGAGAGAGAGAGAGAGAGAGAGAGAGAGAGAGAGAGAGAGAGAGAGAGAGAATTCAATAACGGAGAGAAAACCCGTGGGTTATAATGATAGGAAAATGACTCTCTTACACTCTTTATAAAGTCCTTTATAATCATTGTAATGGGATTTAACTTGACACTAGTACTGACACAATAAACCCTTCATCATATGTTACACATCCCGAAAACTCTAAGTTTTGTTTGACATTTTTTACCACCTACAACGACACTCTGCCTGCAACAGATCCCGGTTACATTTAATTTCAGTCTTGATCCAAGTCCGCCAACTTGCAAATAAGGATCACTGACAACCCCATCAACAAACACGGTGGGTTTAAGTTTGGTGCCGTGTACCAGGATCTGAGGGGATATACAAACACCTTTAATATGAATTTCAGGCTGTCCAGCTAATCCTTTGATTGAAATAACAAGATTGACAAACAGTCCTGATATATATATTTTAGGAGATGCAAAACAACCGGAAATGGACAACAAATTATTTCCTCTCAACCACCCTATATGGTTCTTCCTATTGGTGCACCTTTCGATGTGTACACTTGAGGAATAACAACGTCTTTTTATTTGGATATCCGCAGCTTTATCACAGATATCTCGTATAAAAATCGTATCAGGCTCAGCACAGGCACACCGGGAGCGATGTAGTCCTAGACACTGCTCCACCTTCTCATCTGCAGCCTGGCGAGCATCCTTAAATAAGCCCTGCGCATGCTCGACATTTATCTTTAGAACGGCCATTTCAGATTCAAGGTCTTCAAGACGCGCACTGTTTTGTATAAGACTTTTTACCCTCAGTCTTCCGTTGTTGGAGGTGTAAGATCCATTTTCTTTCGATAGAATGTCAAATTTCAGTTGATTGATCTTATCAACATTTTTTATGATTTCATCTCTTAAGGTTTCTATTTTTAACGTTTTATTTTCCTCCTGTGTTTGGAAATCCTTGTTCCTCATATGATTGTCTTCATCTTTTATTATTTCTGGACTTGACATGGGGTACATAGAATAAAAACCATCTATTCCATAAATCTGATCAGTACCTACAACGTAAGTTACAGCATGATCGCGAAAATCATGACTCCTCGGCCTTCGTATTTTTTCCATGATTTATCTAAGAAAAGAAATGACCATGATAATAAAAAATCTAAAATCAAATGACATTTTTAAAATTGACTTTAATTATTGAAGTAACCAATTGCAACCTACCTGATAAAATGAGCAAAATGTCCGTCTCCGAACCGTTAAAGCAATTTTTACCACCAACAAACGTAGACTTTATCATAAAAAAGTAATTTTCCTTCCGCATTCCGTGGCATCTTTTCTTTTTAAAATAAAATCAAGAACCATGACAAGATGGAGCAAATATACATGTAAATGGAGAAGAGAAACAAAAATATGATATCCGGCGTTTGTATATAATTTAACGTGACATAAAATTCGCAATACGTATGTATTTATTTACCAGTCTTTATGATATAATAAGAAAGTACAGTAATCAAGCTCAGAAGTCCATTAAAACAATACATCTTTGAAACAGATCAAGCACATACCTCTAAAAGCACCAGCGATGGGATCAGACCCCAAAATCAAAGTTGTAACATTTTCCAAAGGCCCGGTCACACCAACAGTGTGCTCCTTGCCATGAAAAGGCAAATGGGAAAATCCGCTATTAAATGTGAAAAAATGAATGGTCCTATAAGTTGTAGAAAAAAAACATCAGTCAACATTCAACTTAACGATTGATTACATAGGCTGACATGATCATTGGATCGACCAAACAATTTGTATAATATTGATTTTAAAAGTCAATGTTTATATCTTTGTACTGTATGTCAATATGCATATAAAGATTTGAAATTGCTTATTCTTTATTATGTGTATAGACATAATCTCCATATTCAACTAATAATTATCACACTGTGATGATGATTTTATAACCGTTTATCATAAAGTTTTGTTTGGTTGCCTTTTTTTTTCATTTCACATGCTGAATACTATCATTTAGTCACAATATAAAAAAGAAAAGTATTGAACAAAAAACAAAAAAAGATCAAATTGAAGACTATGTAATCAATCCCATGGGACCTCTCACATGTGAAGCGAGAGATATAACCACTAGACCACGGAATCGCTTAACACGGTATGAAGTATATGCAGAACTTAAGTCACATACAAGTATATATTCATGTTTTCATGTTCGGTATTGTCAAAATTTTACACAATCCATTGTGTTTGATTTATTTAGCCTTTATTAAACAGTTCTAATAGATGTAATAAGAACATAAAGTTGCCTGTGAACCTGTTTTATACGCAATAACTCTCTTTCATGCCCCTGCGCTAAAAATAGCGACATATAATACTATAAATACTAATAAAACAAACGGGGCAGGGCACTTTGAGAGGGGCGAGAGACGTCCTAGGGAGTTTTGGTATAAAATTACATTGCATAAGCTCAAAATCTTCTAAAAATATATGCCCGGAAATGATAGTGTTACACACAGACAGAATGTATAAATTTACGACCTTGAACTTTGACCTTTTCACCTCAAAATCAATAGGGGTCTTCATTAGGTCACAGGGAGTTGTTATGTAAAATTTCATTGCAATAACTCAAATGGTTTTAGAGATATCGTGTGGAAACGAAAGTGTTTTAACAGACAGAATTTGCTTATTTATGACCTTGACCTTTGACCTTTTGACCTCAAAATCAATGTCAAACACACCTCCAGAGTTGTTTGAATTAATGCATGTAAATTGATCTGGTAAATCTTCAATGAGATTACAGATAAGATACATTATAAAATATAGTATGTCAATAAAATTCATGAAATAGGGCAAAAGTGTACATCTATATGTGTGAAGGCTTAACATCTCTGGCCTAATAAAATACAGTGGATTGCGGTGGTGCGGTGGAGAAATAGCCCTACTTAATTTGTATTAGTTTATATTACTGTTTATGTCACATGTACTTTACCTTCTTTATGAAATGTCAATCCTTCTAAAAATTTATTTGGCTGGTGTGATAATGATGAAAATTTGACATACAACATCTCAGTATAACTGTCCCTTTGTGCACCTCCGCTAAGAGAAAAAACAACATTTGTTTACATAAAATATATAATAATATAATAATTCAAGTAAACAAAACCATTGAAATTGTAGAGTGATTTAGCTGCAAGCTTTAGTGTAAGAGAATTTCAGGGAACCTGGTTGTCATAGAAACGTTTATCTGCCCTCATTGGATATAACCAGGATAAAAATGAAAAGTTTGAAACCTTAATGTTTATATGTGCAGTACACCAATCGTATTCGAAAAGATTAATTACTTATTGTTATATATTCAAGAGGAATTTGATGATGCTCAACAGATGTACGAAAGATCTGTGACAGATGTCTGACAGGTGTGCAATAGATGTAATCCGTGTGACACAAAGTCTGACAGTTGTGTGATAGATGTGTGACAGTTGTTTGACAGATGTGTGACAGTTGTGTGATAGATGTGTGACAGTTGTGTGATAGATGTGTGACAAATGTGTGACAGATGTGTGACAGTTGTGTGATAGATGTGTGACAGTTGTGTGACAGTTGTGTGATAAATTTGTGACAGTTGTTTGACAGTTGTGTGATAAATGTGTGACAAATGTGTGACAGATGTGTGACAGTTGTGTGATAGATGTGTGGCAGTTGTGTGACAGATGTGTAACAGACGTGGGAGAGATGTGTGACAGTTGTGTGATAGAAGTGTGATAGATGTGTGAAAGTTGTGTGACAGATGTGTGACACAGATATGTAATACATGTGACACAGAGGTCTGACAGATGTGTGTTAGATGTGTCACAGATGTGTGATAGATGTGTGACAGTTGTGTGACAGATGTGTGGCACAGATATGTAATATGTGTGACACAGAGGTCTGACAGATGTGTTATAGATGTGTGACAGATGTGTGATGGTTATGTGACAGATGTGTGACAGTTGTGTGACAGATCTGAAAGATGTGTGAAATACGACAGGTGTGATGGATGCCTGACAGAAATAAGACAGGTGTGATGGATGCCTGACAGAAATAAGACAGGTGTGATGGATGCCTGACAGAAATAAGACAGGTGTGATGGATGCCTGACAGAAATAAGACAGGTGTGATGGATGCCTGCCAGAAATAAGACAGTTGTGATGGATGTGTGACAGAAATAAGACAGGTGTGATGGATGTGTTACAGATCTGAAAAATGTAGATGTGTAGAAATGTGTGAGAAAAGTGTGATGGGTGTTTGACTGATGTGAGATCTCATACATGTGTGGAAGATGAGTGACAGATGCATATCTATCAGACGTGCATGTGGTAGATATACAATAAGTAATTGTAAGAACAGATATAGATGTACAATTAGTAATTGTAAGTACATATATAGATGTACAATTTGTAATTGTGAGTACATATATAGATGTACAATTTGTAATTGTAAGTACATATATAGATGTACAATTTGTAATTGTAAGAACAGATACAGATATAGATGTACAATTAGTAATTGTAAGTACAGATATAGATGTACAATTAGTAATTGTAAGTACAGATATAGATGTACAATTTGTAATTGAAAGTACAGATATAGATATAGATGTACAATTTGTAATTGTAAGTACAGATATAGATGTACAATTAGTAATTGTAAGTACAGATATAGATGTATAATTAGTAATTGTTAGTACATAATAGATGTACAATTAGTAATTGTAAGTACATATATAGATGTACAATTAGTAATTGTAAGTACATATATAGATGTACAATTACTATTTGTAAGTACAGAGATAAATGTACAATTAGTAATTGTAAGTACAGATATAGATATAGATGTACAATTAGAAATTGTAAGTACAGATATAGATGTACAATTAGTAATTATAAGTACAGATAAAGATGTACAGTACAATTTGTAATTGTAAGTACAGAGATAAATGTACAATTTGTAATTATAATTACAGATAAAGATGTACAATTAGAAATTGTAAGTACAGATATAGATGTACAATTAGTAATTGTAAGTACAGATATAGATTTACAATTAGTAATATAATGTGTACAGATAAGATGTACATTGATAAAGATGTACAATTAGTAATTATAAGTACAGATATAGATGTACAATTTGTAATTGTAAGTACAGATATAGATGTACAATTAGTAATTATAAGTACATATATAGATGTAAATTACTAATTGTAAGTACAGAGATAAATGTACAATTAGTAATTGTAAGTACAGATATAGATATAGATGTACTATTAGTAATTGTAAGTACAGATATAGATGTACAATTAGTAATTATAAGTACAGATAAAGATGTACAGTTTGTAATTGTAAGTACAGAGATAAATGTACAATTTGTAATTATAATTACAGATAAAGATGTACAATTAGTAATTATAATTACAGATATAGATGTACAGTTTGTAATTGTAAATACAGAGATAAATGTACAATTAGTAATTGTAAGTACAGATATAGATGTACAATTAGTAATTGTAAGTACAGATATAGATGTACAATTAGTAATTGTAAGTACAGATATAGATGTACAATTTGTAATTGTAAGTACAGATATAGATGTACAATTAGTAATTGTAAGTACAGATATAGATGTACAATTAGTAATTGTAAGTACAGATATAAATGTATATACCATTAGTAATTATAAGTACAGATATAGATGTACAATTTGTAATTGTAAGTACAGATATAGATGTACAATTAGTAATTGTAAGTACAGATATAGATGTACAATTAGTAATTGTAAGTACAGATATAGATGTACAATTTGTAATTGTAAGTACAGAGATAAATGTACAATTAGTAATCATAAGTACAGATATAGATGTACAATTAGTAATTGTAAGTACATATATAGATGTACAATTTGTAATTGTAGGTACAGATATAGATGTACAATTTGTAATTGTAGGTACAGAAAATTCTAATATATGTTTTTTCCCATCTTTTGATAAAAAAGTTCCATACATTTGACAAATACTAGTAATTTTCATGACCTGGTTAGCCCTGATTGGAACTACATGACTTTTGTAGTATCTTATCAGTTGCTATTGAGTAACTCAAAAATGGTCGGAATCAGTAAGGGTCTATTATTGTTCCATATATTTTTTTCTGACAGCTTTATATAGAATCTTGCTTAGGAAATTTTTGTTTAGTTTTCATGAATTTCGCTCATTGAATTTTATTATTTATATAAATACACAGACTGTCTAATTGTGATTGGTACAATATGGACCCTGACATTGGCAGATCCAGGTGATTATTTTTTTTTCCTTCAATTAAAATTGAATGATAGCGATTTAAACATCACAAATGAGTCAAGATTCTCTTTATTTTTTCGATTACTTAGATCCAATTCTTCACTGTTTGCTGTGCAGAAATGTAAAGAATGGCATGGATCCTTGTGTTTATCTAAGTGAATGTTCCAGTGAGGTTCGTGAAGATATTTTTAAATGTGAACAGTAATTTGTTGTCAGGGGCGGATCCCGAATTTGTCTTTGGGCTTGTTTTCCAGAAGCAATGGGAAGCTTAGTTGTAAATTCTTAGCAATGGGAGAAGCTCAATTTATATGAGGCAATTTATTAACAATTTTATACATGAGAAGAAAACAATTGCTGTGACTTTCAACTCGACATTTTGATAATTATATCGACGACATATTATCAATAAACAAAAGTTATTTCCATTCATATATTGAGATATTATAGCCGAGTGAGCTTGAAATTAAAAACACCACAGAGTCTGACACAACTGGTTCATAGCTTGAAATTAAAAACACCACAGAGTCTGACACAACTGGTTCATATTTGGACGTTAATAGCAACATAACAATGAAGTTTTATGATGGCTTTAACTTTAATTTGTTAACTTATGCAGCAATATACCCTTTCGCCCTACATAAGGGGTCTATATCTCTCATTTATTTCGATATGCAAGAGCATGTCCTGAGTCTGATAATTTTTAAAACGTGGTAAGTTATTGACAAATAAGTTGACTAAACAAGAATATCAACAGTCTCATTTAAAGTCATTATTCCGCAATTTCTATGGTCGATACAATGACCTTGTCAGCAAATACAATCTATCATTAAGCCAAATGCTGACTGAGTTTTTTGTGCGTTTTTAGTCCAATATTTACAGACTGAATTGTCAACGGGTATTTCTGTTTTCTCCCGATAATAACAAGGAGCACACGGCGAGTGTACCATCGACAGGGGATGCTCAATCCTCCATGGCACCTGATCCCATCTTTAATGTTCATAGGGCCGTGTTTGCTCTGCTCGTTATGAATATTGTATTAATGGACTTTTGAACTTGAATACCGTTTGTTATCTCCATACATATTTCACAAATACTATTTGTTTGTCCATTATTAAATTCAGAAAACTTTTTTCTAGAGATACACGTCATAGTTACATTGGTAAACTAAAGTTTAATAGTAATAATATACACAGTTTTTATTCTTAAATGTGCTGTAGGCATTATTTTTTGAATTTTGGAAATTAATTCTTTTATTCACTGAAAAATACTTTGATTGACGCATTGTAGCAACGACTTTGAAATTTTTAATACTATTAAATATTGAATGATTAATATTATGAAACTTTCGGGAAAAGTTAAATATGCTTTAGTTAACAATGTTATTTACAGTATTTTTGTTGGGAAAGTTCTAGGGAAGAGCTCTGGTTTATAAACTTCATGCATGTCTACGGCATGATTACCCAACAGATACAATTTATTTTTTACATCTGAGACTGATTTAAAATATATTTATTCAACATCATTAAAAAAAATTTAACATTATTTTCAAAAGTATTTTTAAAATAGCAGAACCGCATGTAAATTTGAACATTTGATAATAATGAGGTTGCGTGTGTATGTAATATTTATGTTCCAGTGTTACGTGTCGACAACAACTTCGACGGACGGCTCAGTGGTTAGGAATTTTGGATGCGCCCCAGTAAGTATAAAACTTTACCAGATGTCAAACAACTCTAAAGAACAGTATTCCAGTGTTCCCTTTAGAAATTGATACTCTCTATTTGTAAAAATTATATAAAAAAGTCTATATCAGAGTATAAGTTTTACAAATTCTTGGTCAAAGTTAAATAACTTAAAGATGTACCTAATTACTAATTTTGGTGGAGTTTAAGGTTCATCGATACTCTGATAAGAGAGATAACTCTAAATGACAAAAATGTCTATTATTCCATTATAGATTTGCCATGTTCAAGTATCTTTTTTGTTGAATTTTGCCCCGCAAGCTATGTTATAATTGTTTGTATTTTACTTATAAAATATATTTCTTTTGGAAAATCATTAAGGTCCCAGCAACTTTTTATATAAGTGAACAGAGGGTTTACGAACCTTATATTGTTTTCGAGGAACAAGAAATAGATTAATTCATTTTTATCATGGAATGTCAGGTCTCAAATACATACAACTCAAACTTCTCAAACGATGAAATTAAATCCCCATAAACGATCCCATCCCTCCCCTCCCCATCCCACCCCCAAATGGGTCCCATCCCTCCCCCAAAGCTCGGAAATGCAGTTAGTGTATGATCATCATTATTGCCTGCTTAGTGTATAGAATTTGAGGAAATGAGCTATGTCAGAGCAATGACAAGGCAATTACGATATCAAATTATAATATCCAGTTACCCCATTAGTTAATGAGTTTTTTATTCTCACTCTAAAGATTATTTTTACTTCTAGAGACAAGATTGTATGCTGCCGCCCTCTGCTGTGGGAAGAAGACAAGCGACAACCCAAACAACACGGACCACATTCTGTAAAAAGGAACTATGTAACTCAGGTGATACCAGCATTTCTCTCTAAGCACTAGTTTGTAGACATCTGTAGTAACGAGCATCGCTTCAGAAGAACTAAAAAATTCTTAGGAAGGCAAAAGGAAAATGTTATTTTTAACATTTTTAACATGTATTACTTTTAATTAATACCATACGCGAATGTGACTAGTTATTTAAGGTTAAATGGGAAAATATGAAATTTACAGTAGTTAAAATTGGGATACACAGTTGCCTTAAACATCCAGAAGACATAATGTATATCATTTTATAGAGCTCACATTGAGTAGTCAGTATATATAACATTACAGATTTAAGCCGCTTCCAGGAACCCAGCACAGATCCGTGTGTGGATGCTACACCCACGGAGTGTCACGATCATTCCAAGCTCTCAGTCCTTTGTAGTGACTGCGAATATGCTCAGTACTGCAGGAAATCATGCGGAATCTGCCAAAGTAAGAGATGTGGCTTTTTACTGAACATATCTGTGCTATCCATAGTTAATATATGTCTATATCATTACATTGACTGACTAGACATTAAAATATACTTTTTAAAACCAATTTCGTTTATGTTAACTTTCTTCCTTTTTACAGATAATGCACACAATGGCGTGTGGTACGAGAATGTCGTCCTGTTTGATTATGACCCAGTCCACAGGACTTGTCGACACAGTTCTTCAGTTGACCCTACCATCTGCCGAAGCATCACACAAAGTAACCATAAAATAGTACCAGTGATGGAAAATAACACGACCCTGAATCACGCGCACGCCAAACACGACTACCTAATCCTACCCTACCACGACAGTTATATCAATCTCAACTTCCGGACAAATGGAGAACCTCTCACGAGTATTCAGCTCAGTGCATGTCAAACAACTGGACATGGGCGAGTCGACATCTTGCTGAATAACAACGCGATTAAGCAATCATACACGGGGACAGATGTATGGAATCTGAGATGGCAAATCCACAAGCTGAATACATTCAATTTAAATAATACAAGTACCTTCGACTTGAAAATCCAAAAAGACAGCGTTACTCACAGCTATGGTCATTACTGGATAAGCCGTATCAGAGTTGAGAGCATCGTTGCACATCATATTCATTAATTTCAATAAAATTTTATGAAAACTTCATAACAGGTGTTTATTTCATCGCTTTTAATTTTTAATGAGAAAGCAGTGTACATCTCACTGTTGATCTTGCGTCAGGAATAACAGCCACTCTATTAACAAGTACAAAAATAAAAAGATGCTTGTAAGAAACAGTAAAAACACTCCTAAATATACGATATATATAAATCTAAATAAAGAACAATGACATGGAACTACGGAAACACCAGATATAGGATCAGATTCTGGGAGCAGTAAGCATCCCTTCCTTTGAGAAGCTCTTGATTTGCTAAAGTAAGCAAAGTAATCTGCTGTCAAAATTAGTATGAATTAGAATTACCATACCTATACTAACAGAAAAGAGAAAACTGCTAAATTTAGCATAAAATACATGTGTGTTGCCTTCACACACGAATGTAAACCAATTATTTTGATTCGTGATTTGGCAGTTTCAAATCAATCCGCTACGATTATTTTTAGCGACCTAGAGAGAATTCTGTAAAATACTAGTAATACAACAAAATTAATGATCCGTGGGGATTAATATTCACGAGCAAAAGAAAGTCGCAGAACTCGCGAATATTGCTCACAGGCGAATAAAACTGGATTTACAGTACTCTAAAGATTATCTTTAAAAGATGGTTGAGTTTCTGTTTGACTTTTGGTTTTGTTAAGGAGCATTTTAGAATACCTTAATTTTACTCTGACTTCTACAACATATTAATGCAACATACAGACTTGAGCTTAAGATGTTTCATGATCCTGAAGCCAGGTCTTTCGACAATCTGCTAGAATTCACATGGGTATCAATTGCTATCCGTTATTACATGTAGCAGACCTGTTTTTGTTTTCACATGAAGCAGACTTTATTCTAAATCTTAAATATGAGAAGAAAAACTCTTGCTATGACCTTCAACTCAACATTGTATTATAAGTTAACAGTCTGACACACCTGTTTCATAGTTGGAAATTTTACTGGAAAAGAACGTTAATGGTAACTTAACAGCATTTATGATAAACGTGATGACTAACTTTTCAATCGTCAACTCTCTTTACTTATGCAGCAATATACCCTTATCACTTGCACACGGGGTTGATATCTCATTTAATTCGAAACGCAAGAGCATGCTATACGTACGAACAGTTGGAAAAAATATCAACAGTCTCGATTAAATTCATCATTTCGTAAGTTCTATGGTTGAAACACTGAACTTGTCAGCAAATACAATTCTATAAAAGGTCAAATGCTGACTGAATATTTTCAATCTAATTGTCAGTCTTTAACAACATACTGAATTGTCGACGGATTTTTCCTTATTTTCCGACCATAGCAAGAGGCACACAACGGATGTGACCGGTCTGCAGGGTATGCTCACTCTTCTATGGCTGCTGAACCCACCTGTGATGTTTTAGGTGTCTATGTTTGTTATGCTCCTGATTTATGTATTGAAATCGACTTTAGAGTTTGAATGCTGTTCGTTATCTCCATATATTTCATTCCACGGAATAATAACTGGTACGAATCATGACCCAACGCTGGACTGTATTTCGAACAAAGTCATTATTTAATAAACAACCATAAAATTTACCGCGGAAACCCTCCTGATATCCACCATAAGTCTGTAGCATGTCTTGGTTTTGAATGTTCTAATGGAAAGACTATAGATGCTCAAATGCAGATGATAATTGAATGTTGCTGCATCAGGTATAAGAATTGACTATAGAAAAGCTGATGTCAATATTCGATGTTCATTTAATTTGGTTGTTAATTTGCAATTAAGTAATTAATATCAAGTAAAAGATACAAATATGAAACAGACAAATATTTGTGGCAGAATCTGTACATTTGTGATCTTATTTCGAAATCAATGGAAAAATTTTCATCTTCTAATAAAGAAACATATTTTTGCCCATGGACATCCCTATGGATTGCTGAAAGACCTGCTCTCCGAAAACAGTTTGAAACAATTGCGTCCTTCGTCTTTAAATCCATCTTGTTCACGTGTTAACTCATTATTGAAATAAGGCATATACGACCTAACCTTTCAGAGAACACGTCTTTCTTACATATACACATGTACGTATTACTTATATTTTTAGTCAGTTTGAAGGACCTGTCTTAGAGGTATTAATTTCATATATTTAAATGAGTCGTCTTCAGCGATCATCACGTATGTGCAACTAATATCTTTATGTTCTGAGAAACACGACCTTGTTGTCGGCAATAAAAGGACATATCTATCAAACAAAGTCAAATCTATTTCTGACTCATCACGTTTAACATGTTTCAATATCTCTTATTGTGGCAATTTTAGGTATTTACGGTGAGTAAATGTTTCATATTTTCCACATGTCTTATTTTGCAATTGAGGAAAGCAATACCTTTTAATCAAAGTCCATCCTGCATTAATTATTTCGGGAAAATTATTCTGGGGGATCTTTAAAAAATAAACTACAGTAGTATTAAGGTAGGATTCTTCTATGGTTTCTGTTCGGTGAAATATTCAAAGTACATTTGCTGATATGTTTTATATATTTAGGTGTAAGAGATTTAAAAGACCCTACTTCTCTTTCTTCATCACAATTGTACAACTTTAAATAGAAATGGAAAACCGCGTTTGAAAACTTGCAGGGACTATATTTTTGGCGGAAGGGTGGCGTATGAAAATATCTTCTTTTCTCCTCTCAAAATTATTATACAACAATGAATTTAGTTATGATTTTTACACAAAGACTTCAAGAACTTTTCAAATGTAAGTTTAATTAATAATAAGGGACTAAATTTCCTAAACATATCAAATAAATATGATTTTTCAAACAAACTAGAACTGTGTAAGCTTTTACAAGCTTCCAATCTGAGACAAGATTTGAGCCAAAAATCCATAAAAAATATTTTTCTCTCTTAGTAAACGATCAAAACTTTTTGTTTTTGTATCATTTTGTATCTTTATGTGACAACTTTACCATATGTGAAAATCAGAAAAATTGAAATAGAAAAAGCAACTCATTTATTCTAAAAATTTAAGAAAAGTAGAGAAAATTCGGATTAGCCAACAATTTTACTTAAATTATTTATGTCAATTTGGTTAAATCATCTAATAGGCCCTTTATGATGGCATCTTTTCATGCAAAAAATCAATCTTTTGAAATACAGGTAGGGATCGCATAATTGGCAACAGTAATTTTTTACTGAAAATGTCCAGGAAAAAGGTAATGACCTTGACCTGACCTTGTCTCTAATATAAAATAGTTAAATTTAATTTCACTGATACCATCACTAAGTAATATTGTCTTCTTGATTTAAAGAAATGTGTAAATAAGAAATCCAAATATTAATGACCCGTCCTTTGATGAAAAACGAAATAAATGTAAATCTAGAGCAATACTACTTTGTAAGATTTATTTCATCAAGTACTGGTTCCCAAAATAATTATCTTCGACAGGTAACTTTATAGATTAAGTGAACCTGATTCTCGCACTCTTGTGTGGATTTATGAACAGACTGGCTATGAAATGTAAGCTAAATGTTATTTTCCTTTTAATCATCAAATTTGGAGAAAAAATAAAGTAAATGAGAGTTAATGATTGTTTTAAATGTCTAAATTTTCAAACTAGACTGGAGTTACCTTTCCTTGCCTTGCTTTCTTTGGTCAATTGTTTGTGGACAAAACACATGTGAGTAGTTGTTGTTTTTTTTTTCGAACTGCTCTGATCATTCTAGGAAATATACTTAGTAACTTCTTGCATGCATGGACGTACGTTTATTCAGAATTAACGAATACTATACTCCCTTCATATTTATAAAAGTAATGAATTAAAATATATTTTAAATTCAGCTCCCATTCTTCATTGTCTCCGTTGTTCTGGAGTTACACAATCAAACATTGACCGATGTATCAACCTTGTGGAATGCGCACATGAGGTTACTAGTATTTTACTCTCTTATCATTTTCTACAATTAATATAACTACATTAGATAGGGAATTAGAACAATTTAGACAATTTATTTCTTTAACATGCGCGGATCTAGAGGGGGGGGGGGGTCAGGACCCCCCGTGGAATTTACAAGGTTAAAAAATGTATATACTAAAGCAAGGAAAAAGTTACCATGGACCCCCCTTGGAAAACGCTGACCCCCTGGTAAACGGGAATAGGTGTGAAATCGATATGAAAAGTGAAAGATTTGAGGCAATAGAAGTCATAGACTATCCCCACCCCACCCCACCCAACCCCCACGAAATAGGTTTTTGACTTTTGGGCGAGTTTAGATGTTTTTTTTTTGTTTTTTTTTTTTTGTTTTTTTTGGCTTGTCAAGAAATATTGGGATTGGATTTTTTTTTTGACTGGGGTGGACCCCCCCCCTGGAAAAAATTTCTGGATCCGCGCCTGTTTTATATAAACAATTTAAGAGCCTCATGGGCCACATCGCTCAAACTTTATTTTTTACCAGATTTTCTACCTTGTAAAATCTATTGTGGCCCGTCCTACCCGTGAGGATCATGATTTAAACAATTTGAATCTACACTACTCAAGAATGCTTCCACATAAGTTTCAGCTTTTTTGTCACAGCGGCACTTGAGAAGAAGATTTTTATACATTTTTTTCTATATATCTCAATGTAAAGCTTGCATTTCCTACTGAGGTCCTCCTTACGACCGGGGTCATGATTTGAACAATTTTGAACTACCCCAATATGCTTATACATAAGTTTCAGCTTTTCTGGCCCAATGAGATTCTTGAGAAGATTTTTACCCCACTCTATCTTTTATTGATGGATTCCCCTTGTCAGGAGACATGACCCTTCACTTTTATAATTTAAACTCCCCTTCACCCAAGGATGCTTTGTACAAGTTTGGTTATAATTGGCCCAGTGGTTCTTGAGATGTTGAAAATGTGAAAACGTTACAGACGGACGGACACACGACGGGCAATGGGTGATCAGAAAAGCTCACTTGAGCTCTCAGCTCAGGTGAGCTAAAATTCACATTCAGTCAGAATTCAGCTTGGCCATTAAACGATATCTGAAACATGACTTTCTCATTTGATATTTAAATGAACATAGATATTCAAGACTGGCTGTGCGATGAATGAAACTTGTTTATTTTAGTGCTACGTGAATACTACAACTCTTTCAACAGGATCTAAAGTGAAGAACTTTGGCTGTGCTAAGGTATTACTTTGAAAAGTTCTCAAAATATTCTTTAAATATTAGGTGTTAAAAATATGATTACAAGTTAATCTAATCCATTTCGATAAACATTCTATTTCTTGAGCTTTTTCACATGCCCCCTTTTCCACTGAAACAAGCACAAAAGATTTTCTTAATAAGTAAACGTTCACTGCTAAATCAGTTTTCATATTTCTGTCGGGTCTCTTCTAATCACAGGCACCTGAAGTATGGATAATACCCCCCCCCCTTTTTTTAATAAAAAAAAATGTAAGAGTGTATAATATTCAAAAATATAAAATTTCCCCGTCAAAATCTATAGTTATATGCAAGCAGATTGTACTTTTTCTCACGTTTCAAGAATGGCCTTATTCGGTATAATAAAAATACGTGTATTTTTATTATACCGAATGGGGTCATTCTTTAAACGTGAGAAAAAGTACAATCTGCTTGCATATAACGACATATAGATGTGTTTGACGGGGAAATTTTATATTTTTGAGATATTATACATTCTTACATTTTTTTTTCATAAAAAAGGGGGGGGGGTATTATCCATACTTCAGGTGCCTGTGTTCTAATGGCAGTTTATAAATCTAAAAGTATATAAGTTAAACATCTATAGATATGATACATATTTCCATATATTTTCTTAAGTCGTTGTTCAGATGTTGTCTTAATGCTTGATAGATTAACTTTTGATTTAAACGATGATTTCACAAACCTTAACTGAATCTCCAGAATATTATGAATACCTCACTGAGAGTTGTATATCTGATTAGGAAATTTCTTAAGAAATGCTCTTGCGTTTGGTAGCCCTATCAACTTCCTTTCCTTCCATACATGAAGTTTACTTGTATTGTGTTGCCTTTAGTGGCTAAATAGATGTGATCTATTTTTTACTGTGTTGTGTTCTCACAGCAAGTAGTAGCTACATCATTTTTCTACAAATGTCTTGCCATTGTCTGTAGTAGATATATCATCCTTCTAACTGTTTAGTGTTGTCATAGCCTATACCAGCTATATTATGCTTCCTGTACTGTCTTGTATTGTCATTGTCTGTAATAGCTATGTTACACTTCCTTTACTGTGTTGTGTTGTCATTGCCTGTAGTAGCTATATTATACTTCCTTTGCTACCTTGTGTTGTCATTGCCTGTGGTAGCTATATTATACTTCCTTTACTACCTTATGTTGTCATTGCCTGTAATAGCTATATTATACTTCGTTTACTGTCTTATGTTGTCATTGCCTGTAAAAGCTATATACTATAGTATATTATACTTCCTTTACTGTCTTGTGTTGCCGTTGCCTGTAGTAGCTATATTATACTTCCTTTACTGACTTGTTATGACATTGTCTGTAGTAGCTATATTATACTTCCTTTATTGTCTTGTGTTGTCATTGCCTGTACTAGCTATATTATACTTCCTTTACTGTCTTGTGTTGTCATTGCCTGTACTAGCTATATTATACTTCCTTTACTGTGTTGTGTTGTCATTGCCTGTACTAGCTATATTATACTTCCTTTACTGTCTGATGTTGTAATTGCCTTTAGTAGATGTATCATCATTAAGTTACTCATTCTACGATTGATTGTATATTGTTTAACGTCCCTCTCCAGAATTTTTCACTCATATGGAGACGCCACCACTTGCCGGTGGAGACCTGCAAAGTTTGTCCTTTACTCGGCACTTAGGGCCATTGAGCAGGGAGGGATCTTTTTCGTGGCAGCACCTACTGCGACACGGGACCTCGGTTTATGTGGTCTCATCCGAAGGACCGGTCTCCACGTCCCACAATGGGATTCGAACCCGCGACGTAAGGATTGTCTCCTTACTTCGCGACTCTAGATCCATAGCAGACGCTCTAACCACTGCGCCACGCGGGCGACCTCATTCTAAGACAAATTATTGTCGATATTAAATCAGTTTCCAGTTGTTCAAAAGAGTAAAAAATGAATTTTAATATTGTAATTGTTGACTAGAACATTTATGATAATACAATTATGCAGATATCAGAAATAATCGATTGTTAATTATCTATTCAGAAAGTTATATTTTTACCCACAGAAACCAGATTGTTCGTCTGGGCAGGGTGTTCTAGGAAAAAGAGACGTGACGTCTTATAACATAGAATTTTGCCCTAAAGAGATTTGCAACATAGGTATGAAATTAAAATGAAAAAAAATACATTCACAAGTCATAAAAAGCGCTTATTTATGCCCTGTTCACACGGAGAATTTAATTCGCAGTAAATTAATGCGAAGTAAACTAATGCGAATCAAACTAATGCGAATTAAATTGCGTTCACACGAAAGCTAATGCGAAGTAAACTAATGCGAATTAAAATTTTACTTCTGCAGCCTGGCGTCAGCACGGCTATTATGACGTCATTTGCAAATCACGTCACCTTATTCTGAAGCAGATCAATTTGGCATAATGACAAAGTGTCTGAAATTAATGATTCACAATTTTTTTTAGTTTTTCACTCAAAAATAGCACAAGTACCAATAGCTGACCATCGAGAAGTAGCATTTGACTAAATTTTGTCATTAAGCATGCGTCAGAATTTAATTCGAATTAGCTTCGATTATTTTAGCGTTCACACTAATGCGAAGTATATAAACGCGCAGTAAACTAATTCGAAGTAAACTAATTTTAAATTCTCCGTGTGAACGCTAAGCGAAGCTAATTCGCAGTAAACTTACGTTTAATTATTCATGCATTAAAGTAAATCACATTTTTAATAAGGAAATTTTAATTTTTGATTCAATCTTGTATTCTAGTAATTATTCATGGATCACATTTATTTTATAGATGTGGATCATTTTCAAGTGCCGTCGTCCACGCCCTGTGGCGATGTCTCCGCCCCTGATTGTCGTGATCCTGCCGCCCTAGCGGCAATATGCAGTGATTGTGAGACGGCCCAGTACTGTAGAAAGTCGTGTGGCCTCTGTAGAGGTTAGTCCGAAATATCTGACGTTTTCCAGGCTTTTTTTATTTTGATACTTTACGTGCCAGGTAAACATCAGAACAGGCGCCATTACAAAAACTGGAAATTTCGCCGTCTCCAACTGGAGTTAATTTTCGACACTTGCGAACCAAATTAAATGTTGTAATCACAATTTATCAATAGTACAATACATACAGTACTTACCGATATGGATGAAAAGAAAACATCACTAAAATGCATGAAATAAAACAAATCTCGACAGTCATATTAAGTATTTTCATCGGATTTTGTATTTTATAAACGAATCATATAAAACGATGTTGATATGAACCAAAAGTATTGCACTTTTGATAAATAGCAATTTTGTCATTTAATTCGGTTTGCAAGCTGATAAACACTGCCATTTGAACAAAGTACATGTACTTCTATGTTAGGAGGAAAATAACATCGAATACATATAGTGACATCAACTTCTTTATCACTATCCTGTAGATCGATCCAGTACCTGGTATGAGAACGTTGTTCTGTTTGACTACGACCCAGTACACAGGACATGCCGTCACACCGCTGGAGTTAGTCCCTCTATATGTCAAAGTATTAAGGAGCAATACTACCATATACTCCCTGTAGTTAAAAACAATTACACGGTAAATCACGCTCACGCGAGACATGACTACCTCATTCTGGCTGATACAACCAGTTACGTCAGAATCACTTTCCGTACAAATGGAGAACCTCTCACCAACTTACAACTGAGCGCATGTAAAACCTTTAATGGTCTTGGCAGAGTTGATATTTTACTTAACAATCATACCATTGAAGAATCATATGATGGCACCGCTGTTTGGGATTTGAACTGGCAGATTCATAAACTCAACACAAACCAATTTCACAACGATCGCAGTTTTGATCTGCTCATACGAAAGGATGCGAGGGTTCCTAGTAGTGGTCATTATTGGTTAAGTCGTATTCGACTGGAAAGTCTGGTGTCTCATCATGATCACCATGGCAAATGATATTTTGATTTCTCTGTGTACATTAAATAAAACATCCTTTTGAAGTGAGATGATGCGTAATTTTGCGTATATCTTGATTTTTTCTTTACAAACTTAACAGGACTTGTGTGTTTGTTCGCTCAAGGTTGAGATGTGTTAAAAAATTCAAAAATAATTGCAAATGGGAGTAAGGTTTAGAAAATTCTGATTTCTTTAGAGATAAATTCATTATTGTTCTCATTTAAAGTGTGTCATGGAATATGTTCATAATAAATTAACTCTGAGATTACATCAAGACAAAGAATCGTCAACAAAAATTGCTTTGGGGGGGGGGGGGTAAAAAGTAAACTTCTTTGCCGGCCTGTTTTATATTTTAACGACATCTATTTTATTCATAAACGAACTCATGGGCGAGATGAATATTGTACTTCAACGATTGCTATTTCATCGTATTATGCATCCCATTTATGGTGCTTTTATTTTCTGAAGTTTCAGAATTGAGATAAGCAGGTTAAAATGAACATAACAAGCGGCATTTTTTTTTTAATATTAAAAGCTACTTTACATGCATATTAGAATTAATGAATGCTAGACATGTGCATATGGTTGATTGTGAAAAGGGGACATTTCTATGAAAAATATTGACAGTGTACCTAGAAAAAACCTTTGACAAGAACAAAATGAGATTTCTTGAAATTCAGACTTTATTAGGAGGGGGGTCTCTTGAGGGAGACCAAACTTTCAATGAATATTTAAAGTTAAAATTTGCATAGGAAAAAAAAAGGCGTTGGGAGAAGGGCAGGTCGCCTGCACCCCCCTCAAAATCCACACACATACCCTTGTTTTACATGCCTGGATGTTATGTTCACCTGCGTAAAAGTAAAACGCAAGTGAAATAACTTTCCAAAACGGTTTATTTTATATCAGTTTGGAATTTTCTGATCCATTTTTATTTCAATGTTGAAGAAATAAATGCTTATGTTCACCAATAAGGTCAAAGGAGGTGAACATTCAAATAGTATATTTTATCAGAACATCAGAGATATAGGAATTATTCCGTCTTATAAGAATTGTTTTATACCATGACTGACTAAATATTACTACTTCTACCTGATCAATACAGAAAGCTCACAGCTCGTGTGAACACTCAAGAAGGATGTTTGCTTCTCTTAAGCACCTAATCCTACATTGTACCTCTTTTATTTTTAAAACGTCTCTGGTTTGATAATCATGATTCGTATTCTACATTGGATTTAGGCAAATAATTACTATTTTCTATTGAGTGTACTTAAATGCATGCAATAGAATGAATTAACTGATTTATGATTTTTACACTCTCTGCAGATTTTCAAAAGAAAAAATTTCATCTGGTAACCGAAGGCTTGTGATATGAAAATTTACATTTTAGATAAAAGTCATAAAGTTATATCCAATCATACTCCACGAGAGATCCTTATTACTTTCTTATATCAAAAAAATCATTTACTAATACATGTATTACATGTATACCATAGGTCAGTACAACGAATGAATAATTGTTCCACAATTGTTCCACAATTTTAATGGCACTATTGATATCTTAAAAGACAAGACAAAAAATTCTCAACATAATGAACATAATTACCTCTTGTGCAATTTTTGGGCCCTGTTAAAATTATTATTCTTCATTCAATGTGACAAACAAATACCTGAATTATTTTAATAAAATCAATTTTATAACAAGCTTATTTTTTTTCTTAGATGCTCTAACACAAGCATCCCATACCTTTTAATATTATGCATAACATTTGTTGAATAAGGCTTTAAATTCAATAGAATGAACTGTAGGCAAAAACTTTAAAATAAAGTGTGTAACAGTTCCTACAGCAGAGAAGTAATATTTTAATGATCAACTTAATAAAAAACACATCTCAATTTATTCACATTCAAAAAAAAAATAATAAAGTAAACAAAAAATCCTTCAATGAAGCATGTTAGATGAACTGTTGATTTGGCCGTGCATCCACTACTATAGTTTTGGCCAGAATATCATAGGCAGCTCGGTTGTGTTTGAAGATAAAGACAGTCAAACAAGCAGGGAAAAAGAATGCCATTGTAAAGTTCTTGATGACAGATCTTATTAAAGCACTGTAAAAATAGAAACAATTTAATGTTAATAGTGTGCTTATTTTTGAAATGTATCATACAATGAGATATAATTTCTATTTCTCAAAAAAAAAAAAAAAAAAAAAAAGGGAAGTTGTCAGCTATTTTCATGCAAATTTTATTGCTAAAATCCTTTTTTTTCCCCTTTATACTAAATAAATTAATTTATTCCTATTCAACTAATATTGATTCGGAAATCTAAATTAATATTCTGAATATTTAATAACCTCAAGATAACATGAAATTTTATTTGATACTATGTGATACTGTTTACACAAAATTTTCATGATTTTCTCTTAATTTAACGCATACCTATCAATATAAATTTTTCAGTATTTTAAAAAAAGAAATATTTACCTAAAGAATCCAATATCCCGTGCTGGACACACCAATATCTTTCCTTGGGCTTGTGGTGTGACATGTATACAGGAAACAACTTTCAATCCCAGCATCCTCTTGCCTGGTGTAGCTCCGCCCACCATTCCACCCAGGCCTTTACATAAACAAAGGGTCTGGCAGAAAGAAAGGTTATGTTCAAGATTACATCAATAATGATTGAGATCACAGATAAAGCTTTCATTTTAATTTTATACATATCAGTATATGGTTTTAGATGAAAGGTTTTTTAAAGCTTAACATAAAATACCTCTGTTTTCTCTTTCTGTATTTCAGGGATATGTATTTATGTAAATAATTACAGTATAAAAAATACACGTAATAACAGAAGCCAGTCTTCACCTCAAACACAGTGATCATCATCCTGTTGACGACCTCCAGCGCTATCAGTTCTGACGTGATACTGAAGGCTTTCTCCACATCCATCTCCGTTATCTCCAGAAAGTCAAACTTAGGCATTATGTCCGCCGGAAGCTCAATTATATTATCCTCTCTTCTACAATAAAAAACAATAGGCAAAGTTTAATAAAGAACTTAACTTTATAAGATTACTTATACTAATAGCTTTCAATTAAATAAATTCATGAAATAATACACTCTTGTATTGAATAATTTTTTTATCTAAATCTATCTTTGAGTCCCTGGTATAGTGGTTGCACTTGTTAGCAAATTAAATCTATCATTAAGTCAAATGCTGACTTACATTTTTCATACTTATGGTTAGGCCATTATTTACACACTGAATATTTTATACAGATTTTTCTGTGATTTCATGATGAGGAGCACACGGCGGAGATGACCAGTAAGTAGTGGATGTTCACCCTTCCATGGCACCTGATCCCACCTCTGATGTTTCAGAGGTCCGTGTTTGCTCTGCTCCTGAATCCTGATTTGCACTGTTTTATAGATTTTTGAGCTTGAATACTGTTGGTTATCTCCATATATTTCATTCTTAGAGGAGAGATAACTTTAGAACGAAATAACTGAATTATCTATATAAGATTAAGAAATATTTTCATAAAGGACTTCTCAAATGATATCATTAAATTAAGTAACATTTGGGTGCTTTAGTTTACAGTGACATAAATAAAACTTTATTAGACAGATAACACTGGTCCATGACTAGACTGTGATGTGAGGATTTGCCTCGCTGGGTAGCCAAAAATCTTTTATGATTAGATACCTTAGCTAATAAGGTATACATATCCTGAACCATTATATAACACTAAAATTATGAAATATTTCTAAATGATTTTTTGTATATTCATTATTCTGCACTGATAAATATCAATTAATAACCTTTTTAATCACATTTTCAAACTTGAAACTTCAAGAATACTTACAAATAACCCATTTGTCTTAAAACCAGCACTGTCATCATTACTTTTAAATAAAACAATACAATGAAGTCTATTATTTCTGCTGCTACTCTCTTCCATAATGGTGGCAAGGAATATACAGTTCCAACTGAAATAATGAAAATAATTAACATGATTAATTCAAATTAATGTCTTACACATATCTGCGGGTTAATTTATCCTAAAACCATATATTCAATTAAAACATTATATTTTGGGAAAAGACAGTGGAAGATGGGCTGAGTGGGAGTGCCCTCCCCTAAGATAGAACGTTCTATCGTTAAAATGATATTGTCCTACGGACCCGGTTTAACGATAGAATTCGTTCCGTGTATTCGTAATGTAGCAAAAGAAACATGGGTGATAACTCGTACACACTATAACTCAGTGCATTTAAGTCAATCTAGAGAGTTCCGAATGTAAACATGGCAGGTAAATTTGAAGCGAGAGAAAAACATTAAGAAAATTAATTGGATTTTTGTCTTTAGATGGATTATTTTCTGGGATAAAAGGCATAAGCAATCTCAAAAAGGTTTGTTTTGATTAATTTGGTAGTTATTTCTAGTGCAAATCCTTTTATTTTCTTCAAAATCGTTTCGGAGCGAATCCGCTCCGATTTGCTACATTGCAAGTATATGGGACGTATTCTAACTGTGGTGAGGGCTTGTACCGAGACACAGATAGATCATTCTAACTACCCTCCCCTATCCAAACCATTCAGCACAGGCACCTGAATTTTTATCAATAAGTTGCTTAATTAGCCAAATATCGAAAAATTCTACCCCCTCAATATATAAATACATTAAGGGGGTAAAATTTTTCGATATTTGGCTAATTTAGTGACTTATTGATAAAAATTCTGGTGCCTAGCTCAGTAGCTGTGCATTCAGCTACATCAGTCTGGCTGTTTCTCATCTGGAACGCACTTAATAAACAAACTAGGGTAGGGGACTGGACTGATTTCACTTAAACAACAAAATTATTGTCTAATTAGTGGATTTGCATAAGTATTCACGGTTACCTCTTTGAATACGAGCCCCTTGGGAATGGCCTGGTGCCCTGTTATGTGTTGTGGTGTTGCTTGCTGCTGACGTCGAGGTGGTATGTTGAGTATATATAGAGTTACTGTTAGGATTAGAATACTGAGGAATTTGGCAATTATTTAGCATTAATGGGAACATCATTGAAAAAGACTGCACTGAGCTCCACATCCGATACTGATACAGCCATATGTGAAGCTGGTCTGTATATTCCCTCAAATTCCGATAAGGTTTCTCTGGCGCACTGCTAGGTTGTGATAGGATTGTCGTATCTGGACTTGAACCTTTTTCACAACTTTCCATTCTCGAAAAGTTTACACCGAAATCGTTTATTACTTGCGAAATTATCCTGTAGTTTCACCAACTCACGGGAACAGTCACATTTACTGTCACTTCTAGGAAGTTCGACGATGATAGAGCTTTGTTTACTTCCGGTTACAGGGATACTAGTTTAAGGGTAAAACAAATTCTGTTTCCGGATAATGCATCCATAAGATTTTGGGTATGTTTATTGAAATTCGCTATGTGCGATTATTTAACGTTAAATTAAATGGTCTTTAAAATGAAATTTTTTTGACTAAAAGAAGCTGAGTCCAGACACGAAATTTAGCAAGAGGGAGAGGCTGGGTCTCGTTAAAACCCTCCCCAAACTTTTTTTTTTAATTTTTATTAAAATCAGGATAATGTGGCTATGTATGAATAAATGTTGGTTTTGAAATAATTTGGAACACAATAAACAATCTAAGTTAGTCACTTAATTCTTTGCCAGTGAAGAAAAAAAATTTACAAAACGGCATCATGAATTTTTTTTTATTTTCTTTCAAATATGATTACTTTTAATGTCAACAAGAACTGGTCGAAAAGATGAAGATAAGGAATAGTGATCGATCTTTAAAAAATCTATAAACAACCTGTGAACAAGATAAGCATTAACCTACGTAGATGGGATCAGGCGGCTAAGAGGACTCAATGGACCTAGCTCTCACGCCCGGCGTATGACCATGTGTTGTTCAGGTAGGCATAATATTCCGTAGTCAAATTTAGCCTAATAATCATATTTTACATTTGGCATGAAAAATGTCAGCCATAAAATATAATCCATTGATAGGTTATATTTGCCACCAAGGTAATTATACACTGTAACGATCATAAGATTAACAAAATGTTGGCTTTAACGAGGTTATTGAAGTCCCTTCTACATTAATTTATCTGTCATAAGCCTGCCTCGATTTAATAATTGATCATACTGGAACATCCTCTTGAGTATCACTATGTCGAGTTGAAGGGCATAGCAAATGATTTCTTTTTTCTCAGAATTTGTCTGAATACTTTTAATTAAAGTAATATAAAAACAGGTCAGCTTTTAAAACAGCATAGCGCAAGTAGTGCTAGAAGGCCTCGTCCTGTCCTCTAGCATCCTTTAAATATTAACTTCAGAGAACTTCTTTGTAGAATAAGAGCGATTTTTAACCAAGACATTTTGTTGATAAGGAATCACAAGACGAGAAAATTTCCAACTTCAATTTTTTTTTTTAAAAAAAAAGAAGCAGTGTCGATGCTATCAAAAAGCAACTTTTTAAAATATCGTTACATAAAATGTAGAAAAGTCGTTCAAAAGAGTGTTTCAATTGACGTGATTTAATGAAGGGATCTGGTTGACCTATAATATGGCGGCCATAAGTAACAACTCTTGCTTAAATCACCTCAATGGAAAACACTATTGAAGCTGTTAATAAAGGCCTAAGACTAAGTAATATTCTAATCACAAAAGGGTCCAGTCTTGTATTTTTCATATTTCAAGTTAAAGACTACACCTTGTATTTCCTACAAATACACATAGACTATTGCTTCCAAACTTTTTGGCCTGGATATCGAATATCTGAAACATAATCATCCATTGTGTGCATGTTCTTCTTCGCCCTATAACTATAGTCCTAATGGACACGTTATTACAGGTGACGTAAATGTAGTTAATAATGAGGACCTTAGATCACTAATTTTAAAAGGTCCAAAATAAAGGGAACCCCGATCCTCCAACTGGCGTCAGAATTTCATAAATATTATGGATTCTTTTGAAGATTACGCTAGACGATGGGCCAGATAAGAAAAAGAAAACGTTGACATTTTGTCAGAATGGAATAAATGTCAGATCCATGTTACAATCGCATATTAAAAGATTGAGGGGCAATATGAAAATCATCTATCCTTCTGTATTCAATAATCCAGAAGTGGAAAAAGAATTAGATTACATGATCAGTATACGTACTGGTCCCTGCTGACAAAGCAGGTATAACAACATTGTCTTCGTTTGTATGGCTCATTCTGAAAGAACTTAGATTTAATTCTACAAGTGATAATCCAACTTATTCTCATGGTTTCCATTCTAAGAAAGAAATTCATTAAAATCATATTTGAATATTTTTAATATCCCAAAGAACCAAAATGAATTTGAACTACCATCATGATATCTGTATTGGATTCCGAAATTTCATAAAAATTCTTACAAACAAAGATTCATAGCGGGTTCCAGTAAATGTTCAACCAAGCCTCTTTCTTTACTCCCCACTAAGATATTAACAGTAGTGAAGGAGAAACTTCAAGATTACTGTTCAACAATATTTTCAAGAAGTGGTGTAAATCAGATGTGGGTACTTAAAAATTCCAAGGAACTTTTATTCAATTTGAAATCACAGGATTTTACCAAAAATGAACAGCTTAAAAACTAACGACTTTTCAACTTTATACACAACCATTTCCCACGATAAATTAACGTCAAGGCTTTTTGATATCGTTGACGGTTGTTTTTTCAATAAAAAAAGGAAATCGTAAATTTACTAACCTTGTCATTGGTCATTTGCAAAATTATTTTGTTAAAAACATTCTGATTGTACACACAAGTACTCTGAAGTTGATATTTAAAAAATGCTTTAGTTTCTGTTTGACAATTAATATTTATAGTATGTTGCTTTTGGAGATCAGATCTTCCAACATTCTATCTGAATTCCCATGGGTACCAATTGCGCCCCGTTATTAGCAGACCTATTATTGCATTCATATGAAACAGAATTTGTGCAAAATCTTATGCGTGAAAAGAAGAAAACACTTGCTGTGGCCTCAACATTCAGATATATCGACGACGTATTGTCAATTAACGCTAGTAATTTCCATTCTGATGTCGATACGATATATTCTGGTGAGTTTGAGATAAAAGATATTACAGAGTCTGACACATCTAGTTCATATTTAGATAATTTACTTTAAATAGATGTTAATGGTAATCTAACAACCAAACTCTATATTAAACGTGATGACTTTAACTTTTCAACCGTCAACTTTCCTTACTTATGCAGCAATATACCTTCATCACCTGCATCCGTATTTTATATATCTCAGTTGATTCGATACGCAAGAGCATGCTCTACGTATGAAAAATTTCTAAAACGAGGTAAGTTATTGACAAACAAGTTGATGAAACAAGAACATCAGCACTCTCGTTTAAAGTCATCATTTCTTAAGTTCTTTGGTCGATACAATGACCTTGTCAGCAAATACAAGTTATCATTGAGACAAATGCTGACTGACTTTTTCATACTTATTGTTAATCCATTACATTATTGTTAATCCATTTACACACTGAATTGACCATAGATTTTCCCGTTATCTTCCGTTAACATGACAAGGAGCACACGGCGGGTGTGACCGGTCGGCAGGGGATGCCCACTCCTCCATGGCACCTGATCCCACATGTGATGTTTTGGGGGTCCGTGTTTGCTCTGCTCCTATTTTGTATTGTTTATGGACTTTTGATCTTGGATATGTTCGTTGTCTCCATATGACTGACTTTTGAAAAAGAAATTGAAAAGTTTTTGTAAGGATCAAAGAGGCTTGTCTCTGCATTATATCTTTGTTTGCAAGGGACTTTTATGAAGTTTAAGAATCCAGTTTAAGTAGGGTAGACCAAACTCACCTTGGTTGAATGGAATGTTAAAAGCATTTAAAACAATGAAATGTGATTCTGGAGAATTTCATCTTTAGATAGTGATACAACGGCAAGTGAAAATAATCGTTACATAAATTGCACCGTGGCTACATCTCGTAAATGTTGTAACTAGGATAAACCGTATCTATAAGTTACAGACAATGTTCTATAGTTTTGATCGTAAACTATACTTGTGAATTGTGTATAGTTTCACGGGAAAATGTGCATTTCCTATACAAAATTATATATGCAAAGTCTACAACATTAAACCGTGTTTCGCAAATGTACACTTACGATAATCACGATTTTGTGGTTGAAATGTGAAGATAACGAACAGAAATCAAGCTCAATTGAAACGATTCAAACCCAGAACAGAGCAAACACAGACATCTTAAACATCATAGGTCAGATCAGGTGCAATGGAGGAGTGAGTATCTCTTGTCGATCAGTCGCACGCACACTGTGCTCCTTGTCATGATCGGAAAAACGTGAAAATCCGTTGACAACATGTGCAGAGTGTAAAGAATGCAGTGTGTAAATAATGACCTACATTATTAATTATTTCTATTTAGAACATGCTAATGCACATAGAATCAAACGGGAGACAAAAAATACTAATATGCAGATAACAATTATGTACATGCATTCTACATGAAAAAGGGGACGTTAACGTTAGAGAAACTGAATTTATCACGTTTATCAAGTTTTGCTGTTAGTCCATCTTTAAAATAATGTTTGCTTGCCCTCTTTCGACCCAGAGAAAAATTATTGAGTCGATGGGTAGGTGGTAAAAATTTTTCCAGAAAATCTGACCATATTTGTTGACTGGATGAGAGGAATAAAAAGGGGAAAAAATATTGTGTACTTGAATGTAAAATAAAGTTTTCAGTCAGTCGGTCGGGAGATGGCAACCAAACAATTTTTTAAAGTTGGCCCTATCATAAATGTCTTTCTTGTGAAATATAAAAAAAATGACACAGTTGTGTTAGACTCTTTGGTATCTTATCTCGAGACATATACAAATTTACCGGTATATCGAATCAACGTAGGGATGACAAATGACTTCAGTTCCTGAAACAACCGTAAACTATAAAACTCTGTTCACTATCGTTTATGTAAATTAATGTCGTTAACTATTAGTTTTCTGTCCGTAAACTATATACTACTTATATCGTCGACAAATACTATAATACTAGTAAAGTTTATCTAGTATGAAAATACACCAGGCTATCTTTAAAATTAAAAGAAATATGTTCGCCCTTTCCCTACCAAATGACAGGATTAAAAAAAAAACAACAACAAACAGATAACGATCTTTTTTTTCATAACTTTTTCATTTTGCGAACAAGTATGTTGAAATTTGGGGGGGGGGGATTCCCCCCTCCTACTTCCTTTTCATTAATCTGACTTGGGAAAGAACAAAGATTATTTTTAAAGAAGACATTTCGCCCATTTTTGTTCAATTGGCGTGCCATATAAATATATTATATGTAAGTATACGAGTATTTCTTTCATTTACGCTAGTTTGTACTTATGACGGCTATTACCGTTGTCGACACGTGGTTCTGATAAGACTACTAACACTTTACTCCATTGCATTTTTCTTAAAAACAAAAACAACAAACAAGTTAAGTACGAATTATATATTAAGGCTTATTTCTATTTCTTTACAAAAACTAAGGCCATGATATATAGACTTTACAGACAAGTATTGCATATACTCACATAAATGGGATTTTTAGTAACTCGATAATCGAATGTTTTTACTTTCACACAGTCTAAACCTTATCTAAAATGATTTTTGTTTAAATGTGCAATAAAGAAGGATGTCTGCTTACTTTAAAGCTTTATAAGGTTATTGAGGACTTGGGTTTTTTTCTTTTGTTATTGCTATTGTTGCTGTTTAGTGTTAGTGTCCTTAAGGTCAGATATCTGTTTTGTATATCTTCGTAATTATAAAATAAAAATATCTAAAATTATAGTTACCGTGTGATTTCTAAACTGGTTTCTAACTGTCTTTAAAAAAAATTACAACGCTTAATTTTTTGATTTTGACAATTTAAGGTATTTTCAAAAGGGTTATAGTGGCAACATCTTCCTTTGGTATATTGCACAGAGAATCATATATTATTTAGGAACGTTATGAAGATGGCAGGTAGAATTCACACAAATACATGTACTATACAATTTAGACCTACTGGGACCACCTTTAAAAATTGTTTGGTTGCCCTCTCCTGCCCGACTGACCAAAAATGGCTCGACTCAAAAAATATGTTTGTTTTTTCACATTCCATGACACATTTTTTTTCTTTTTAATTCCTTTTATCTCTTCAACAAATATCTTGGAATTTTTGGAAATTTCCCACCTACGTACCCACCGACCTAATAATTTAATCTTGGGTCGGGAGAGGACAAGCAAACATTATTTTAAAGATGTCCTGGACATTGCTTGCATGTGGAATCCACGGAGGACTTGAACTCATCATTGACATTGTTGTTATTTTTAAGAGTTAACTCCCTTTTTTTTAATTTGCCTTGAATAAATTAACCCTATGTTGGATTTTATGGTATTGTATGAATTTTTTAAACTTTCCCTTCTCAAATAATAAAAAAGATCGTTTATAAAAAAGAACAGGTCAAAGGCAAAAAAATATAGCATTGGATCACGTCATGGTTCTGGCTATATAATAACCTGCTATGAAAATTGTACATCATATATATTAGTTTTTCATGTTTATTGAATTATTAAATCTAATTAACCTATTTTTGCGTGCGCGAACTTTGTGAACGAAAGAGATTGACCAAATAACAGAATCAATACACCAATCTTAATCCTAAGAACAAACATAGAATTTTGCATGTTCTACCTCTGCTGAAAAATATAGTCTTGGAGGTGATCAATAGAACCTTTGTCAAAATGAAACAAACAGGGTAATCCCTTAGTGAATTGAATCGGAATTACAGAGTTAGACACATTACTAATTAATATATGGCAAATTTTATATGTTCCTAAGGCTTTCAGAACATCAAAATATTAATTATTAGAAATAAATATTCAATTTTCATCAGCTATAAAAGTCCCTCGTTGTGATAGAGTACACGAAGTGTTGGAAAATAATCGTGACGCTCTCGTAGACAATATCACGCACAGATATGGGATTGGCTGAAACTCAGGTTACAGTCGTGCTCGTCAAGAGAAATCTATGGAGAAAATAATTATTATGGATATTTACCCACAGTTTGTGTAGGAAACCTCCCACAAACATGTTTGTCTTCACAGCAAAATGTTGCAAAAACTCTTTGAAGTGCACAAGTAAACATCATCTAAAATCAATTAGTTCTATATTGACTGCGAACCATTGTAAAAGGATGGCAAGCGAAAGAAAACGAAAAAATAAGTAAGAAAAAATGCAGTTTACTTAGTACTAGGATGCTCCCACGTAAAATACAACTGGTTGAAGAATGAAATCGGATGATAATTACTAGGATAATTGAAACTGAATTGATAGAACAACACATATATAACTTGGTCCAGCAAATGCTCTACCAAGCCCTTATATCGATTTCTTACCAAAATATTTACTACTATGAAGGAGAAACTTTTAAAAAAACATTGCGCTACAGCGTTTTCTAGAAGTAGTGTAAATAAGATGTGATGGGGACCTAAAAAACATTTATTGACTGAGTTCGAGGGCAACATGGGTTTTGTTGGACCCAAGAACCAAACTTTTTGCCTCAGGTCATTAGGCCGGAGGCAGACAGTTTGGTTTGAGGGTCGACAAAACGCATTTTGCCCGAGAATACACTCAATAAATGTGTTGTTATACTTTTTATTTTAATATATTTTTGACATACATGTATCTTGAACTGTTTTCGGAGATGTATACCTCAGGTCCGTCACTGTAAAACACCAAAGAATGCAAATGAGATTAAGTTCAGCCCATTGTGTGACGTAAACGGTCCAACATCTCTTTGAAAGGTCCAACATCGAACTCAGCGGTCAAACATTGATTTCTTTATGTCCGCTCAGTAAAATTCTTATTTTTGTATAGATTTGTATAGGAACAGATTTTTGAAGTAATGACAAAAACTTCTAAAAACGTAAAAATTATACAAGTATAATATAAACAATTATAATTTTTCTACATTTTATACAGCAATTCCTCGCGATAAATTAAAGTTTAGACTTTTTGATATCACAGACAACTGCTTCTTCAACAAAAATGGAACTCGGATATTTCCACGTCTTGTTATTGGTCATTGACAAATTACTTCGTTAAAAACCACTAATTGCACACACAAGTACTCTGAAGTTGATATGAAAAGGATTCTTGAGGTCCGCATTGACAACAATTGTGTAGTCCTCGATGAACAACTTTTCCATCAATTGTTGGAATTCTAATGAACACTATTTGTGCTGCTTTATTTGCTGACCTGTTTTATTTTCCCTTGAAGTGTAATTTATTAGAAAAAAACTTGTACATTAAAAGGAGAAAATACTTGCGGTGGCCTTCAGTTCGACATTAATATATCCACGATGTTTTTTTTTTTCAATTAACATTGAAGTTACTTTCCTGAATATGTGAACTCGATCTATCCTAGTGAACTTGAAATAAAAGACACCACAGAGTTTGCCACAACTGCGTTTTACTGAATAAGGACGATAAAGGCCTACTAACAGCAAAATTATATAATAACCGATAAACGAGATGACTTAGATTTCAATCGTCAACATTCCTTATTTATGCATTGTAATCTCCCAACTTATTCGCTACTCAAGAGCTTGGTCTGAGTACAGTCAGTTCTTAAAACGAAGCATGCTACCAACTGATATGTTGATGTTTCAGGAATTTGAATAACCTCGTTAAAAGTCAGCATTTCCTAAATTCTATGCTCTTTATGATGACCTTGTTAAAACATTGGATCGTATTTGTTTCATACTAAATGTTAAAATATCTTTGTATACTAAAATTGACTATACGCAATGTATCATTGATTGATTGATTGTATACTGTTTAACGTCCCTCTCCAGAATATTTCACTGATATGGAGACGTCACCATTGCCGGTGAAGGGCTGCAAATTTAGGCCTAATCTCAAAAATCCTATAGGGCTCAGAGCAGGTGTGAGCGGTCAGCTAGAGAAGCTCTCACCTCCTGGACACCTGATCCCACCTCTGTCATTTCCAGGGGGTCGTGTTTTATGCCTTCTTCGCATAAATTTGTATTGTTATAGATTTTTCAGATTCATCACAGTGACTGTTCGTGCATGGTCTTCACTTTTAGATAGAACTGGTAGAAATTAGAAAATGTAGATTAGCAGACTCTCTTCTTTCAAATTTGCAAAACAGTATACCATTATACTTGTTTCCGGAATGTTTCATCTAGCGATGCTTAAGTATTTTCTAAATAGTAATAAAAAACATTAAGGTTTTCTTTTAAAAGTCATTTCTTTTAGTTGTGTACAAGTAATAGGTAAAAGACATTTTGAATATTTCTTTCCGATTATAAAAGCATCTTCATAGAAAACGTAAAAATGTAACATTTTTAACTATTTTTCCCTTCTTTTAACAAAACAAAGAGTGATATTTCTTGTGAGTTTTCTAAGAAAGAAAAAGAGAAAAATTTCAAATATATCAAAGGATAACTGGAATCGATACACTGTTTTAAAAATCGGAGAGGGCTACATTATTGCAGCTAGGTAAATTCATCCGGTGAAATCATTACAGTCGCTAAGGCCGAGGACCGTAAATAGCATCTAATCAAATAAAAATTTTATTATTCATATAGCCTTATTTAGAACCTGATCGATATGATGAGTATGAATTTAGTCTATTCTATTCATTTATTTCTAGATATGAATGTTTTATGTAGTTCACCATTCCTATATCATGCTTATACAGTGTTATATGAAAATTAGCAACATTTTTATGTCTAGGAGATTAATGACCTGGAACTTTTAATTTAACCATGTTTGGCAACAGATTTATGAATATCACACAGGTATTGGGCAATGCAGTAAAGTAAAACTGTAAAACAAAAAAGAAGAATGGAACAAGATTTATTGTAAGAATATATAGTTTTTAAAAATCTTGCTTTAAAAATAGTGCTCTAAAATCTTAATAATAAAATTATAGTAGTGCATCCCTGCCATTTATACTAAGTTGGTCACAGAACAATCGAAGATAGTATCATGCTTTTTTTACTTTGAAACATGATAATATTATCGTCAATCAGATTATAACGGTGTACATACTGTACATGTCAGTCTATTCAGATGCAGAAAAGGAATACGCCCCTTTAGCATCGTTGGGTATAAGAGGGCCGAGCTATTGGAATCACTGATAGTTCTTCACCTGCAAAAAGCTCGATTCCTTTCACAAAATATTTTTCTGTTCTTATTTTTACCTAATGGGTATCATCAACCATTGGAGTAGTTCGTAAGATCACGGAAGAATATCAGAGAAGCAATGATGTTTCCGTTTTTCAGTTTTCCTCCCATGGGAAGGCAGCCACATTTCATGAAACCACCCAGTTTCGCAAGGATTTTCTGCATCCCTGTATTGTTACAAAAGGTATCCACATACATTCCTTGGTATCCAAGAATTTCAGAGAATTCCAAAACTTTTCTCATACAAAATTCGCCAATTCCCTTTTGGCGGTCATGAGGTCTGACGATAATATACGGGTCCACAGCGTCCGGAGAACCGCGATAAAACTTGCTTGACGTCATAATGAATGATGCAAGCATTTCTTTTGTTGATCTGTCCATAACCACGAAACAAAATGATTCCCGTATTTCCTCACGAAAATCTTCTTCGTTTTCGAATTCATCCACACCAAATCCATGTCCATCTTCAGCGCACTGCTGAATAAGGTCATACGTTTGAGTCACATGGTCATCTGACATCCAATCAATGATGATTTCTCGATTGTTTGGTAATTGTGACGTCAGGGGAAGATGGGGAAGCAATCGTTGATGGCGATCCTCTCTAAGCATCATCCCGATATGTGAAATTTTGGCAGCAATCTGTAAAAAATAAAATTATACAATTTTTATTCAATATTCAATGCAAAAATGTTTCTTCAAAATCTTCTGGCCGATGATATATTTTTATAGAAACAATGAGTAGATAAAAAATTTAACAACTAGATAAAATAAAAAATACTAATCAGCTGTAACATGTTCACATAAGAACAAGATCAAGAAGTCGGGTGATAAAATTCAGTTAGAAAAAGGAGGTAATATTATTATGCTACATGTTGGCTAAAATTGGGTCAAAATTGAAGCTCTAGAATACTGTACGTTATTGTGTTTTTATCTATTATGATTATAATCTAAAAAGTCTAGTAAAATCTTCAGTAGCGTTTTCCATCCCGCTGATATGAATTACATACATGTACTTACAATACTGCCTATTATTCAGGGCTCTGTGATATGACACAAATTACTTTTTTTTTTAGTCATATCATTATCATATACTGGAAAAAAAATTGAATTTGAATAAAGAACTATTTTCAAAAATTGAATTTGATTGCCGGTAAGGCACGTAGTGAGGATCGGGTTATCCCTTTTTTCGGTTGCCTGTGGCGCTGAAAATTTATGTATGGTTTTAAAAAGGTCAAAAAATTATTTTTTTTTTGTTAATATTTTTATTTCAAACAATGAATACACTTCTGGAACGTGGAGAAATAGAGTTCAAAACACATTTAAGAGAAAGTATTTGTCAAGCTTACCATAGAGAGTGAACATCCCCGGTGCACACAATAAATGGGAATGGGACATATGTATATAATTATCGTTCAAAACATAAACAAGATATCATGAATCCGACCAATATCCAATAAACTATCCAACGTCCACGACCAGTGACGTACCACTCAATATTGTTAGTGTCGATCTTATATTGGGGAACAGGCAACTTTTTCGTAAACAAGTTTACAATTAACACCTTAAACAAATTAATAACACACCATCGGCTTTAGGCTTTATTATGATTCCACTTAAAGGCACGTACAATGCACTCAAAAAATAGCAACCATTCAAATTGAGCTATTTATAAAGGTTGTCCTTGTGACAAAGTGCGTTAAGCTTGTTAAGTGGCTATTATTTAAAGATTTCAAGTACATGTGTTTACTAAACATTGTAAACACAGATGGTGCAGGATATGTATCTATGTCATCTTCATCTCAACTTTATGTCATAATGAAAATAGGGCCCCAGTAATCTTTAGTAATATAAGGTCATATGCATTTCCGGTAAGCAAAGTACAGTATTTTCAACGAACCCATACAAGATTTTTATAAGCCTGCTAACTTACTAACGTGAATAAAGAAGTGACTGCCATATCTTTCAACAAATCTGCCGAATTTGTAACCTGACCCAACAGGCATTGAATTTGCATGTCATTTAAGTTACTGCACAAATGAAAGATATCTAATAATGTAATTTAAAATAACTGCGTCAATGTTCTCTCTTTATATACAAAAGATTTAAATGATAGAAGAATGGAATCTCATGTAATCTGTCATTGACGAATGAGAAAACGTGCTTGAAATTATCAGTTGCTTTCATATAATTTGTTTTCAACTATTGTAACAAACTGACACACATATGTCTTCTTCACCATCACTACCAAGAATTACTTGGCAAGCTACAGAATTATTCTGAGCGTTGCAGCAGAACCTCGAAAAGTATGTTTTACTGGACGAACGAGAAAGACAGTTATGTCTTGAACATGACAGATGTTTGTCTTAAAAGCCCATCAAGTGTATCACTAATCCAATATGAGACAGGTGATAAAACGGTACTTCTGTAAGTACTATTGATTCAGTGGGGGAAGTCAACCGCCGGATAACGTATGGTGACTAATTAGGGTTTCTGACGTAGACGGAATGGTCGAGCATTTTAAAAGTTGTGAAAATCTAGAGACCAATCTGTTCTTAAGTGTCTGCATTCTCTCTAGGGCTTCATGTGAAAAATTATCAAGTAAAACGCACATCCAGAGGCTATCAACTTGTTCAGATAAGACCAATAGGCAGCATTGGAAATATGATGAAATAAAAACAAGAATATGCCAAAAATGCTAGAAGAACTGTTTGGAAAACCAGACTGAATTTCTAAATGAAATTATGACAAGAATTTCAATTCTAGACTAAGCATTTAAACAGTACACATGACATGTAGATGGTTGCATGATTTCAGGTTCTAGAAAAAACCTATGTTCATTTGTTTGTTTACATTTCAAAAGAGTATTGTTTCCAATATACTGATTACGCAGATTCTATGGTTCATAAGGACAAATACATGTAACGGTGTGATAACTGAATATTATGAACCTGATTAATCCAAAACATATTGTAAAACGTATTTTTAAGTATATATTTTTATACCCAAAAAATCATGACTCTTAATAAGAAAATAATTGTCAGAAGTGTAGAACATTTTTCCCTTACCTTGCAATTGGTACGATGACAACCCCGCATCTGATATTAAATGGTTTCGCTTCTCTGTCCCTCTCACATTGTTGAGGATGTAAACAAGAGCTCGGGGATCAAGGCCACTTACTTCTCTATCGATCCCCAACAGAATGACTAACCGCCCTGTTTACGATGCGCTCAGTGGGAGCTGCTGCTTCACTCAATACAAATCTGGTCGATCACAGGAACTGGGTTAACGTGTTACTTTTGGGGCGGATCTAGAACTCCGTGTCACGATTCTGAAATAAAGGAAGTCATCTTTATTATACACTGTATCTAAATGACCTTGAAGATTTCATGAATTTAAATAATGTAAAAGGTTTATCATTTATAACGTCTAAATTAGAATCGGAGTTTAATTTGTATCTTCGATTGTTTGTTTTGCTATACGCAGATGACACGATCCTTTTGTCAGAAACACCAGAAGACTTACAATACCATTTGGATGTATTTAACAAATATTGCAAACAATGGCATCTCAAGGTTAACACCAATAAAACTAAAATTGTAATCTTTGGAAAGGGCAATCCAAGAATTGAAAAACCAATTACATTAAATGGAATAACATTAGAAATCGTAGATAATTTTAAATATTTAGGAGTAAGTTTTTGTAAAAATGGTTCATTTAACACAAATGTCAAAGAATTATCTCAGAAAGCAACAAAAGCTATGTATAGTGTTATTGGAAAATGTAGAAAACACAACCTTAATATAGAATGCACATTGGATTTGTTTGACAAAATTGTAAATCCTATAATTTTATATGGATGCGAAGTGTGGGGTTTTAATCAGTCACCATTGATTGAAAAATTGCACTTAAAATTTTGTAAGCATATTTTGCATGTAAAGTCATCAACACCAAATTTTATGGTATATGGTGAATTAGGTAGATACCCTATTTCAATTAATATAAAGGTTAGAATGATAAGTTTTTGGTGTAAACTATCTTTTTTACAAAGGGATAAATTATCATCGAATTTGTTAAGTGTTTTAAAGAACTACAATAATCCATGGTGTAACTTTGTCAAATCTATATTGAATGAATGTGGACTTTCTTATATTTGGCATACTTGTCAACCTGTAAATGTATCATGGCTGAAGAAAATAGTGTTTAACACTCTGTATGATCAGTTTAAACAGAAGTGGTATAGTGAAATGTTTAACTCGTCTAAAGGTCTTAATTATAGAATATACAAAACTTCTTTTTGTCTAGAAAAGTATTTAGTATCTCTGCCTTTTAAGTACTGGATAATATTTTGTAAGTTTAGAACTTGTAATAATAAATTACCAATAGAAGTTGGAAGATGGCATAATGTACTAAGAGAAAACCGAATTTGTAAATTGTGTTCCAAAAATGAAATTGGTGATGAATTTCATTACTTATTTAATTGTAATGATTCACTTATTTTGAATTCAAGGTTATTATTATTATCAAAATATTACTATTCACATCCAAATGTGTATAAGTTTGATCAACTTTTTAATACAAAAAATACAGTTAAATTGACAAAACTGTGTAAATTTATAAAAATTATTTTTGAGAGAGTTGGCTCTCCTGGTTAGCTCATTGTTAGTTTTGTTACTTTGTACTTTTTTCTTTTTCATGCATGCACATATGTTTAACTATACTTGTAATCTTTCTCAACACTGTACTTATGTCAGTTCATGAGAATAAATTCATTGTCATTGTCATTGTAGCACATTGCTTCTGATTGGTCATTTTTAAACAAGCAGATGCTGGATTATCGATGGATACTGATTTTATACATGTGACTAAACATAAGTAGAGGGCACATATTGATTGGATTATTTTTGTCGTCTTTGTTTGAGTATATCGAGTAAATATGCTGGTAAATACGACTATTTCATTACTATTTTAATATTACGTATTATTCTATGACAATGGCACTCCTTTACATACAGGTATTACTGAATACTTTTGAATATTAGAACTAGTGTATACGTTTTAAGTTTACATGTCACATTTTATATTCATTTTCCATTTTTTTCCTTATTCAAAAATAAATAATTTTTGTCATGCATAAGCTATGGGACATTTACCATTTGTATATACAGTGTACATAATATACTACCTGATTTCTCAACCACTGCTTACCATTCTCAAAACATTGATTATACTGTTTAAACTATGTCGCTCCATAAAACAAATTTAAAAAGGAAAAAAGAATTAAAATGGAAATTCACACTTACGTTTTAGCAATATATAACTTCTCTTTCTCCTCCAACTTGCCAATTAGAAAGTAGGTTTTACCATGGCTTCTCAATTTTCACTTCTGTGAAATCATTGTGCAGAATGTGTATTGTGTGTGTTTTAAACAAACCCGGATATGTGTATTGGAATTATTCACGGTTCATTGGCATTGTCACTTGGCGATCGGGTTATTCAAAGGTCACTGGAATATTTGCTGCGGCCGACATTATAGATATTTTTCTAATCCATTAACCAGAGTGTTCAAGGTCTTCCAAGTTGTTTTGATATGGGCCAGCTACTTTCTTTAATCCGCATGTTGTTTTGTTACAAGACTACAAGGAAGGCAAAGTTTAAAGCGCACTAGTCGAAGAGAACAATTTGTATCTTTGATATACATGCATTTCAATAATTCAATGCATAGACCAATGAATAAGAAAAAATAAATAAATAAAGGATCTTTGAAGTTTTAAATGAAATACATGTATATGGAGATAACGAACAGTATTCAAACTCCAAAGTCCATTGACCATTACAAAATAGGAGCAGAGCAAACACGGACCTCCGAAACATTATAGGTGGGATCAGATGTTATGGAGGAATGAGCATCCCCTGCCGACCGGTCATACCCGCCTTAAGCTTGTTCCCCTGACCATGATCGGGAAAATCTGTCAACAATTCAGTGTACACGTATATAATGACTTACAATTAGTAAGAAAAACGTCAGTCAGCATTTCCTTTGATAATAAATTGTATTTGCTTTAAAGGTAATTTTATCGACCGTACGTAGAACTTACGAAATGATGACTTTAAACGAGATATTGATATTCCTGTTCCAGCAACTTTGTCAATAACTTCCCTCGTTTTAAAAAGTGTTCATACGTAGGGCATGTCCTTGCGTATCGAATCAAATGAGAGATATACACCCTGTTTTTTGCATAAAGAAGGGAAGTTGACGACTGAAAAGTTAAAGTCATCTCGTTTGTTATAAAACTTGATTGTTAGATTATTATCAACGTCTTTTCAAGTATAGTATGTAATAGTTACATGATGACACGAGATGATGCATACAAAATATCGTTGAGTTATTGCACGCGAGGAGGCGTTAGCCTCCGAGTTTGCAATAACGAAACGATATTTTGTATGCATCATCGAGCTGTCAATCATGTAACTGATTTATCCCATGACCCTTCATTTGACCTTTTCCCATATTTGGTATTTTCTTTACATCAACTAATAAAGACTCTGAAACAGAACCACGTGATAGTCTTAACGCGAAGGGTTTTTTGGTATCTAAGTAACGGATTTACAAATTTGGTAATTTTCATAGTACTGTAACACGTGATCAATTTCTTGAGATAATCAATTCATTTGTTCCATGATCTGGCGAAAATGGCAGAAGGGGTTCAGCGTAAAGAATCGTCGTTTTTCAGCAAGCCTACGACGAGGGTAATTTTCAATCGAGTCAAGCAGTATGAACTCGGGCGATCGGATTTAAAAGGCCCATGGGGCCAGGACTTTATGAATTTCGATTTACAGTTTCCGGGATTGAACGGGAAAATTTTACGGAATGGACTGAAAATACTAGATTCGGAAAACATGTGTCGGCCATTGAAATAAGTGCGCTTAAAAAATCAAGAAAGTAAATTCACGAGCCGTAACACTTCATGGGCAGTCAACATGGTTCAAGTGTTCAACGACTGGAAATCTCAGCAAAACAGCAACTTGGTGAGTTTAAAACCATTCCCGAAATACTCGCTAGTAAATACCAAGAACTTGTGTACTTTATATGTCACGTTTTGTACACTGTAATTGAAGCCAGGTGCGCATATGGTTTCCCCTACCCCGAGGACTTTATATCCGATTTGTTCCGATATTCTACGGTACATGAGAGCAAGGTGTTCATTATATGAACTTTTCAGAGGATGCCGGGAAGGAAAATGCTACTATTGAATGTGCGAATTTCTATCATGGGAGATGAAGTTATCCGCTTCGAGAATTATGCTCCGCCTGACAGTGTCGATGTCTTTTTTGTAAAGATTTGTGCATTTTGATTTAAACTGTGTTATCTGTTTTGTTTTGTTTTTCTCTTGTTTTTGTTAGTTCATTAAAATCTAGTTCTAAACGAATTTTTGTCTCATTTGCATAGCTCCTCCTACATCCGGAGTATAACCGTTGGATATCACTAGCTTTATATCACATATGTGATATTTAATATATCACCACACTTATGTTGATATGAGAAATACACCCTTGCGAAGATCAAAGAAAAATTTGTCGGTCATGGGATAATTATTTTTATTATAGTCAATCAGAAACTCAAGCATCTTTTTAATATCAACTTCAGAGTGCTTGTGTGCTCAATCATAGTGTTTTTAACAAAATAATTTGCAAATGACCAATGACAAGATAAGTAAATTTACGAGTTCCACTTTTATTGAAAAGGCAGCTGTCAATGATATAAAAAAGCTTGGACTTTAATTTATCGGGGGATGGGGGTGGTTAAATATAAAGTTTAAAAGTCACAAGTTTTAAATGCCGTTGATTTTGATAAAATTTTGTGATTTCAAATTTTTAAACAAGCTCTTAAAATTTTTTAAAAAGAATTTTTAAGTACATGTATCCACGTTGTCACCTTATTTAAATCACCTCTCGAGTAAGTAGTAAAATTAATTGAGCAGTACTTATATGATGTTTCTCCTTCACTACTGTTATCATTTTAGTGGTGAGTAAAGAAAGAGGCTTGGTAGAACATCTAATATCATTTTTACCGGTGGTACAGTGTATGTTTTTGTATCAAGAAAAATAGTCTCTATTCATGTTAGATTACAAAACCAATTTTTTTTATTTAAAAAAAAATTCAAAACATCAATTTACATGTATGTCTGATCTCTGAATAGGTTGAAATGCTCTCATTTAAAGAGTTGTATGAATTTAACCAAGACTGCATTGCAAAAACCAAGATTTGATATGGAAATACGAACGTTTAAAATTTATTTCTTAGCATTTATTTACTCTGTGTGTCTTTATCGATTATTATCAAATTTTATGCGCCCGGATCGATAGATCCGAGGTGTATATTGTTTTTGTCCTGTCTGTCTGTCTGTCTGCCCGTCTGTCTGTCTGATTGTTTGTCCCCAAACTTTAACCTTCGCCATAACTTTTGAACCATGAAAGATAGAGACTTAATATTTGATATGCATACTCCACTAATTAAGCTCTTTCAAATGACACCAAGGTCAATGACCTTGTGACCTTGACTATGGCCTATATGCTAAAAATAGTTTTTTTCTGCAAAATTTAACCTTCGCCATTACTTTTGAACCATAAAAGATAGAGACTTCATATTTAGTATGCATATTCTACTAATCAAGTTCTTTGAAATGACACCAAGGTCAATGACCTTGGGACCTTGACTGTGACCTATATGCTAATAATAGCTTTTTTCGAACTTTGTTGCTGCCGGGCGCATAGTGTTTCACAAACACATCTTGTTTTTATTTATAACATTAGGCATATTTTACCCTATCTTTGGACTTTCAGTAGGCGTGACTTTCTCGGCGCTACGTAACGGAGAATACAAGTAGATTCTCATTGGTTACGAAATTAATAAAATAGGAACTTAAAATTGTTGTTGATGACGATCAGACGACTTATGCCCCACCTCTGTGCCGTGAGAGAACTTTTAATTGGCTATTTACTACACCAGTTGACATTCTGCCGCATTCCTATCACATTTTATTTCAACAGTGAAGGGAAGCTGTGTAAATTTCAGAAGCTAATTAGGTAACGTCGAGAATGCCACGCCTTACTGAAAGTCCAAACTAAGCGTGTAATTCTTCTAAAAAGGTGTTTAAAGTATTGTATTGATGTCTGTGTTAAATTATTTTTAAGAAACCTTCCTTCCTATTTGAGTTTGTTTTATTTGGTCATTTCAGTTGCCAACAACTGCACGCGCTTGTATTGTATATAAAGAAATATGATTTTTTTTTTCGAGACTCTATCAGAACTCTTTCTTTTGAAAAGACTCTTCATGAAAAATAAAAATGAAGAACGTCAATCTTGCTCAAAAGATCATTGGAACAAAACAAATAGAGAGCAAACACGGACCTTAGAACATCAGGGTGGGATCAGAAGCCATGGAGGAGTAGAGATCCCCTGTCGACCGATCACACCTATGTGTCCTTGTCATAATCTAGTAAACAGAAAAATCCATGGATAATTAAGTGTGAAAATAATGACCAGACGACTTAGCAATAGGTCATATGTGGACCACAAAATTTACAAACCTTTGACTTAAAACAGACCATTGATATCCTTGTTTCATTAATTTGTAAATACATGTATCTCAGAGCGTATGCATTTGCGTACTGGACCATTTGGAAGACATTTCCTTCATATGCAGGCGAGAATGGAACATTAAATATTGTTACTTGAGAAGACGTCATCGCTATATCGAAATTCTAAACGACCGTCAAAACAAAATACTCCTTCTTTTTATATAGAGGCTGAATAAATTCTGCTTCATATGGATACAGACATAGGTCTGCTAATAAAGGGGCGGCGCAACTAGTAACTATGGGAATTTCAAGAGAATATTGGAAGACTTTATCTCCAAAAGCTTCATACATGTAAATAAAAATCAATCAAAGACTCAAGTATCTTTTTACTTACAACTCAAGTGTACATTTTTTAAATGATTTTGCATAAAAATGTACATGAATATAACTTGGGGTATGGTTGTATAAAAAATTTCCAAAGCTGCATTTTGTGATGTGACTGATTTTGCTAAAAATTTGTAATAATATTATCTTGATTTTTTTCTTAGAGTTTTAAAATGCTTTACGCACTTGAACATGCCCCCCTCCCATTATTTTAAAGAACATGGGACAAGATAGTATACAACAAATATAGCTTTTCATGAGGTCGATTCATAAATATATCGACTTGACAGAAAAGCATATCGACCGAGTACAAAATAATTTGCTAAATTTATGTGCATGCATTTTGATTACAAACAGATTTTTGGATATGAATCTGAAGCGTTAAGAAAAAAATTTGAGTGAGCAAATGGACAAAGAACCTATCACTATATTTGTTGGTACAGCGTCGGAAGCAAATTGAAAGTGGGGGGCTAATTGAAAGTTGGGTAGGGGTTGGGCTAAACAAAAAAAAAGATAAACCCCAATTTTCAATGCCTATTTTATGTATATCTTTGCAAAAAAGGGGGTGGCTAAGCCCCCTAGCCCCCCCCCCCCCCCCCCCCCCCCCCCCCCCGGCTCCGAAAAAGAAAGTGGACTTATACGAGGGTTGATCCAAAAGTTCGTGGAATTTCTTTCTAAAATTTTATCGTGATTTTAAAAAAGCAAACAATAGGCATATTTATAATATATAGTCATAATGCAACAATACTGGACAATTTCACCACGTTCCAATTACCAATAAGGTCACACGAGCTTTCTGAAAATGGAAAGTTGTGAAACCCAGGGGAGACTTCGACGTAACGTCAAGTTAGGTATGTCACCTCACGTTTTAGAAGCATCTCACCCTACTGTCCAATTAGAATACGTAATTCTACAAAATGCTGCCCTTTTGTCCATTTTTTTCTCAAGAAAAGCCTGGGTATCCTCTCGTACCAACTTATCTTCATTTTTCACTCATATTTCAAAATACTCCCCATCTTACCATACTGATGTTTCAATTTCAGTAGCAATGTCAAGAACAGTACATCAGCCGACAATGTCCATAAACGCTTTCAATTTGTCTAGGGGGGTAAACACTTAAAACAGAGCCTCCAAAAGGCGGTCACACCTTTAATCATTATCCATGGAAGTTCTATTTTCTTAAATTCCTTACGTCACTGGAACCCAGTAGCTAACTGCATTTTCCCAATCCTATGTCAATAATATACGCATTTAAGATAGAGTGATCCCGGGATTTTCATAAAACTTATGACTTGACCAAAATTTGACGTTGACTAACAACCTAAAGATGAACAATAAATCTTCAACTAATGAACTAAATATCCAGTAAAATCAGTAAAAATCTCACACAAAGGTTTATAAAAGATCAAGCAATCGTAATAATGACATAATTTTCGTTTTCTATAACACATAGGACGGTTTTATTCTCATTTCAAGAATTAAGAATTAAATTGATAATAAACGTGTTGATGTCTCCCCCGCATTTCCAAACATCCGTTTCTATGGCAACTGCCATAGAGTAACTATCACAAATATTTAAAATATTTTTTTTATTTTAAATATTCAACAAGTGTCTATATTCTCATTTGTAATTTTCAATCAATTTCACTTGTAAATCAATAAAATATGAAGAAGTTCCACGAACTTTTGGATCAACCCTCGTATATGTACATGTTTCGATCAATATAAGTATTCTGGTTCTAGAATGGTTTTTTTTTTTTTTTTTTTTTTTTTTTTACATTTATCTGGACATGTGCTAATTACGAAAGCATCTCACCCAAATGCTATTTTTTAAATATATTCAAACAAGATATAGTATATGATAATATAATAAGGCAAAAGGCTGTCATACAAGCTCCTTTGAATGTTGTTATACTTGTGTATATGATCTCACGGTATATGATGAGCCTTGATCAGATATTAAACTGTGACTTGTGGACCGTGACAGGATTTACTCAATGGATTTTAAATGATTGAGGTTCTACAAGGGATTTCGCTGTTTGTTTTTTTCAACCGTAAATAAACAAATAATTCTTTTATATTGAAAACGAAGTCTAAAAAGGTAGAAAACACTATATTAAATATTAACAATTTTACTTTAATCCACTTTTCTCTATATTTTTGGTGTTTCTGTATTCGTTAACAGTTTTCCCGATGTTTCCCGTTTACAGGCAGTGTGCAAAATAAATTCAGCAATATTTGATTCGGGGTATTTTTAAGCACCACCATTATATCAAACTAGCAAATACAACTGTCAAACAGATCCGGTTAATTGGCAGCAGGCATGCCGAGGAAATAATCGATATTTTGCAATGTAATTATTCTGTGTATTTTACATATGAAAGGCTTGATGATACATGTACTCCCCAAAAAATAATGGCAGAGTTCGTGAATGTTTTTCACCTGAAAAGGTAAGTAAATGTGTTCTTTTCTACATAATACAGAACCGCATGTTTATGAATGCGGGGATTAATCCCATAAATATACAGCTGTTTATAGATTGATTCAGGAACGCGAGTGTGTACAAATCATAATAGTTAATTTCCTGCTTTTCAACTGTACCAATGAAACACTCCGTATTAATCATTAAAAGCTAGTTATACATGTGTGTGATCTTTCCTCGATGTACTGTATATTAGAGATCGATATATAACGCATTATTATACATTTTGTCGCAGTAAACTTTAATAGTCTCTACCTTCAGTAACTACATACCCTATCTCATTAAAACATGTATGGATAAAGCAATGGAATCAAAAGTTAGTGACCAGATGAGGCCCATTTGGATCTGTCTTGTCCAAATGCAGCAAATCTCTAAGTACACGACCAAGTGAAAATGTCCAGAGCATGTCCATTTGCCCCAGTCTTGCTTCAATTACTGTAAAACTTAAAGTAAATGACCGAGTGAAAATATTCATAGCATGCCCATTTGTCTCAGGCTTGCTTCTATTACTGTAAATCTTTGCGTTTGTTCAAAAGATAAAACTCCATTTTTAAAATAGATTTCCATTGATGTAGTTGTTTGTTTCCATTAGCGTCGTAAAGTCGAATTAAATATATTATAACTACGTTATAACTGAATGCAATTTAGCAAAATCTTTTTTCTTAAATTTTACGAAGTCAAAGCATCGTCAAATTAAGATTATATTTACTAATTATAATTTATTTTTCAGATGAAAAATCTCAGAAAAAATTCAACCTTCAGAGGATTTTCATTGAAGTGTTATCAATGCTTATTCGGAGGATTCACTATTATTGTGATTTTACTTTTTGTCTTTCATCAAAATCATAACTTGACGTACTATTTTATCTATAACAATAAAAACATATTTCCAAACATCCCCAGGGTATCAAAAGCAAATAATTCCACTAATCCAATCAAAACAGTGCTTCTTTACAATCCCAAGCACTGGGAAATACAAATACTGAACAAGTTCACAAAAGGAGGACTTTGGGAAAATTGCCCATATTCCTGTCAAATTACAACTGATATTAAATCATATGATAACAGTGATGCGGTGATATTTGTGATCGACTTGTTGGGAGGAGGTGAATTACCTGTTAAAAAGACTCACCAAGTTTGGATATTTGCTCAATATGAATCGACCGATTATTTGACGAAAGAAGTTGGTACCCAATTCGTAACGCAGAGGAGTATGAAAAAGTATAATCAGAAGGTGAACTGGACAATAAGCTACAGAAGGGATGCAGACCTTCCATTTATTCATGGGTCTTATAGTGTCAAGAGAAATAACGATAGAGGAAGAAAGAAAGACTCGAATACTAAACGTGGCATCGCTTGGTTTGTATCCCACTGCGAGACCTCTTCTAGAAGAGAAATCTTTGTTAATTTACTGAAGAAAACCACGGCAATAGATATATATGGTCATTGTGGCTCTTTAAAAGCCCAGAATTGCCCGAAATCAAGAACAGATGCCATCAGGGAATGCTGGGGCTTAAAAGAAAGTAAATGTTTCGACATTCTTGATACAAAGTATATGTTTTATTTGTCATTTGAAAACGCAATGTGTCGTGATTACATCACAGAAAAAGGCCTTCATCACGTGACTCAACATGACATCATCCCAATCATGAGAGGAAGTGCAAATTATTCTATTTTTAGTCCGCCAAAATCATACATAGACACAAAAGACTTTTCCTCTGTACAACAGTTGTCAAAATACCTTACAAAGGTGGAGAAAAACAAAGATATGCAAGAAGAATTCTTACACTGGAAGAAACATTATGAATCCCAGTATCCAATAGAAAACTGGCGCAGTAATATGTGCAATATTTGTCAGCGACTAAATAATCCCACAAAATATACAAGAATATATAATGATATATACAAATGGATTGTTACACCAAATAATCGAGATGGATGCTCTGTATCCAGGGACTTGTAGATGTTGAAATGGATGTGATAATAAAAAAAGGTTATAAACGTGTACATATTTATATGCACGTGTATATGTATAAAAATTTCTTCTATGATCAGCTGTTTAATGTTAAAATTGCGTTTGTGCTGCATATGAGTATTGTTTGCTTCAAAAGGCCCGTACGTGTTCTTTCATATGATTGTTATAATTACATACCTCACAACCTTTATCTTTTTATTATTAATGTGTTTCAGTAATTTTAACTTGAATGGATTTGATAAGCACGAATGTGACCACTTATAGGATAATGAATTGATAATGAATCTTTTAGAAATTATTTTAGTCATAGATTACACAGACCTGCGTTTGACCAATGAAGATTGTTTCAAGACCCAAGATTTTAACAACACTTAAACAATTTCTTACAGGTCTGACACATAATACATAATGTAAAAACTCGTATTGTTTGCTGAATTCTTGTTGATATTGTAAATTATACATGTAGTAAGGTGGAGTTCCAAATTACCAAGATCGTTTAGTACAAAATCTAATAGTATCATTTTTGTAATAAAATACCGGTAAATTATGCTTTTTTTTATCATACTAAATACATCAGAAGTAGTTTCCTTGCTCGGCCTACACAACTTGCATTTTTCTGATCTTTAATTACAAATTTCTTTTTGCTGAGGATTGAAGAGACCATGATCAGAAATATAGTACAATGTGCGTGTTTTGGGAAATTTCGTCTCGTATCCGACGTTTATGTTGGCGGCTTCCATTTTTGTGATTTTTTTTTCGAGACTCATGCGCTATTAGAAATCGTTCATTTGAAAAGACTCTGCGTGAAAATTAAAAACGAAGAACGTCAATCTAGCTCAAAAGATCATTGGAACAAAACAAATAGAGACCAAACACAGACCTCAAAAACACCAGAAGTTGGGACCATGTGCTATAAAGGGGTAAATATCCCCTATCGACCGACTACACCTGCTATGTGTCCTTGTCATAATCTAGTAAACAGAAAAATCCATGGATAATCTAAAGTGTGAAAATAATGACCTAACTTTGTATGAAAAGAGACTTAGCAATAGGTCATATGTGGACCACAAAATTTACAAACCTTTGACTTAAAACAGACCATTGATATCCTTGAATCATTAATTTATTAATTAAGTTGACGTCAGAAAAAATTCAAGTCATTACATTTATAATTAAAATATATTTGGGGCGGGTGTGGGGGTGGGTGGGTCGGTTACCAATATAATATTTTTTCATGTAAAAAATCCAGATATAAAATCCTAGACTCTGTAGTGATTTTAATTTTGAGCTTAGAAAATATATCGAATCAACGTTAGAATAACAAGAGGCCCAGGGGCCACAGCGCTCACCTGAGCACATCGGGCTTGAATTTAACCCACCCCCCCCCCCCCCCCCGGCGTTCATCATTTGAACAAACTAGAATCTACACTATCTGAGGATGATTCCATATAAATAACACTAATCATAGCTTTGAAGTGCTTGAAAAGAAGATTTTAAAAGGTTTCCCGATATATCCCTATGTAAAACTTGGGTGGGCCATTTTGGCCCCACCCTAGCCCCAGGGGTCATGATTTGAACAAACTTGAATCTACACTACCTGAGGATGATTCCACATGAATTTCATCTTTCCTGGCCCAGTGGTTCTGGAGCAGAAGATTTTTAAAGATATTTTCCTATATATTCCTATGTAAAACTTGGGTCGGCCATTTTGGCCCCACCCTAGCCCCGGGGGTCATCATTTGAACAAATTTGAATCTACACTACCTGAGGATGATTCCACATGAGTTTCATCTTTCCTGGCCAAGTGGTTCTGGAGAAGAAGATTTTTAAAGATTTTTCCTATGTATTCCTATGTAAAACTTGGGTCGGCCATTTTGGCCCCATCCTTGCCCCAGGGGTCATCATTTGAACAAACTTGAATCTACACTACCTGAGGATGATTCAACATGAGTTTCATATTTCCTGGCCCAGTGGTTCTTGAGAAGAAGATTTTTCCTATATATTCCTATGTAAAACTTGGGTCGGCCATTTTGGCCCCACCCTTGCCCCGGGGGTCATCATTTGAACAAACTTGAATCTACACTACCTGAGGATAATTCCACATGAGTTTCACCTTTCCTGGCCCAGTGGTTCTTGAGAAGAAGATTTTTTAAAAATGCCATTAATTTTTCTCTAATTCATAATTATCTCCCCTTGGAAAAGGGCGTGGCCCTTCATTTGAACAAACTTGATTCCCCTTCACCCAAGGATACTTTGTGCCAAGTTTGGTTAAAATTGGCCCAGTGGTTCTTGAGAAGAAGATGAAAATGTGAAAAGTTTACGACAACGACGACAACGACAACGACCACGACAACGACAGACAACGGACAAATTTTGATCAGAAAAGCTCACTTGAGCCTTCGGCTCAGGTGAGCTAAAAATGTATATTGTTAATTGAGAAGATGTCGTCGATATAATTATCGAAAACAAAAGACTCCTTTTTATATAGAGTTTGAAAGAATTCTGCTTCATATGGATACAGAAATAGGCCTGGTAAGAAAAGGGCCGCATAACAAGTAGCAATGGGAATTTCAGGAGATGACTTTATCTCCAAAAACTTCACAGATATCATCAATATTTTTTAATAAAATTCAAGAGACATTACATTTCGTGTACAGTTTTTATAACTGACTTTGCTAAAAATTTTGCAATAATATTATTTGGATTTTTCTTTTAAAAAAAATCATAGAGTATTCCTTAAGTTTTGAAATGCTTTATGCTTGAGCATGCCCGTTATTTTAATGAACAGTAGACAAGATAGTATACCACAAATATAGTCTTTCATGAGGTCGATTCATAAATATATCGACTTTACAGAAAAGCATATCGACCGAGTACAAAATAATTTGCAAAATTTATGTGCATGTTGATAAAAAAATAAAAGAAAAGATTTTTGGAGATAATTCTGAAGCGTTAATTAAAGAAATATAGTAAGCAAATAGACAAAGAACCTTTCACTACATTGTGTTGGTACAGTGTAATGATATCGACTTATGAATTCTCTCCTTGGTTATGGATAAAAAGATAGTGGACTTTTATGTGTACATGATTGTGTCGATCAATATAAGTATTTTTGTTCTAAAATGTTTTTTTTCCATTGATCTGGACATGCGCTATAATTACGTGAGCAGCTCACCCAAATGATATATTTTTTTTAAATAATGAAATGAGATAGTATATAATAATATGATAAGCCAAACGGCTGTCATAAAAGCTCTTTTGAATGTGGTAAAAGGTCGACCTGTAAATTGGATTTGTAGACCGTGACGGGAATTACTCCGATGGATTTTAAATGATTGAGGTTCGACGAGGGATTTCGCTGTTTGTTTTTTCAATAGCAAATAAACAAATAAGTCTTTTGTATTGAAAAAGAAGTCTAAAAAGGTAGAAAAACACTGTATTAAATATTAACAATTTTACGTTGATCCACTTTTCTCTAAATTATAGGTGTTTCTTTATTTGTTAACAGTTTTCCCGATGTTTCCCTTTTACAGGATCGAGTGTGCAAAATAAATTCAGCAATATTTGATTCGGGGTATTTTTGAGCAACACGGTTATATCATACTAGCAAATACAACTGTAAAATAGATCCGGTTAATTGCCAGCAGGCATGTGGAGGAAATAATCTATATTTTGCAATGTAATTATTCTGTGTAATTTACATATAAAAGGCTTGATGATACATGTACTCCTCCCAAAAAATAATGGCAGAGGTCGTGAAGGTTTTTCACCTGAAAAGGTAAGTAATTGTGTTCTTTTCTACATAATACATAACCGCATGTTTATGAAGGCGGGAATAAATCCCGTAAATATACAATAGCTGTTTATAGATTGATTCAGGAACGTGAGTATGTAGAATTTATAATAGATAATTTCCTGCTTTTCAACTGTACAAATGAACCTCTCCGTATATATATTAATCATTAAACAGTTATACACGTGTGTGATCTTTCCTCGATGTACTGTATATTAGAGATCGATATATTACGAGTTATTAGATATTTTGTCGCAGTAAACTTTGATAGTCTCTACCCTCAGTAACCTGATAACTACATATCCTACCTCATTAAAACTTGTGTGACCAAGGAAATTAGTGTAAAAATGTATATATGTAATCCGGGACAATGATCAAAGCGCCAAGGGCAGATTAAATTTAACAGGTGTCAAGGACTTCAGAGTGAAAGACTTGGGTAAACATTTATCTCTGGACAATACAAGTAATTAATTAATCGAGTGTTAAATAACTCTATTGTAAATATTATGCTATTGTATGTAATTTGCTGTTTTGTACTTTTGTTCAGTTATCGACTGGCTTTCGCCAAGACAGCCACGCTGGACAGCGCTCTCGTCCGCTATATGGCGGAGCCTGTCCCCTTTTTTAAATAAATCTGTTAAAGCTGCATATTTGGAGTTCCGTCTTATACATCAGAATTTAGACGGTTATATTTGCATGGCACCTGATCCCACCTCTGATGTTTTGGAGGTCCATGTTTGCTCTGTACCAGTTTTGTATTGTATTATGGACTTTTGGTCTTGTATACTGTTCGTTATCTCTATACGTTTCATGGATAATGCACTGGGATGCATACTATTAGACTTGCTTTGAATGATGCAAATTCTAAAGTTAGTAACCAGATGAGGCCCATTTGCCCCAGTCTTGCTTCTATTGCTGTAAACGTCTAAACAAATAACCAAGTGAAAATGTTCAGAGCCTGCCCATTTGCCCCAGTCTTGCTTCAATTTCTGTAAATGTCCAAACAAATATTCAAATGACAATGTTCAGAGCATGCCCATTTGTCACAGTCTTGCTTGTAAATCTTTCAGTTTCTTCAAAAAATAAAACTTCATTTAATAGATTTCCATTGAAATAGTTGTTTGTTTCCATTTATGCTCGTTAAGTCAAATTAAATATATTATAACTACATTATAACTGAATACAATTTAGCAACATCTTTATCCTTAAATTTAACGAAGTCAAAGCATCGTCAGATTTTAGATTATATTCACTAAATATAATTTATTTTTCAGATGAAAAATCTCAGAAAGAATTCAACCTTCAGAGGATTTTCATTGAAGTCTTATCAATGCTTATTCGGAGGATTCATTATTATTGTGGTTTTACTTTTTGTCTTTTATCAAAATCCTTGCTTGACGTACTCTTTTATATATAACAATAAAGACAAATTTCCAAACATCCTCAGGGTATCAAAAAATGCAAATAATTCCACTCATCCAATCAAAACAGTGCTTCTTTACAATCCAAAACACTGGGAAATACAAATACTGAACAAGTTCAAAAAAGGAGGACTTTGGGAAAATTGCCCACACTCCTGTCAAATTACAACTGATATTAAAGCTTATGATAACAGTGATGCGGTGATATTCGTGATCGACTTGTTGGGAGGAGGTGAATTACCTGTTAAAAGGACTCACCAAGTTTGGATATTTGCTCAATATGAATCGACCGATTATTTGACGAAAGAAGTTGGTACCCAATTCGTAACGCAGAGGAGTATGAAAAAGTATAATCAG